GTCCAGCCAAGTGGCAGCAATCTGCTGAGCTTGGAGCTCTGCTTTCAAAACATGTCACTTCTTAAAGGTCAGGATGGAAGTCTCTCCTGAAGCATCTGCACAGCAGAGCAAAGCACACTGCACCCCAACACTTCTACTTTCTTCTTTCTTTCTGTTTATTCAGAAGTATTTATTTAAGGAAAGATGGAAATTGACCACACCATTCAGAATTTGATTTCTTGTTTGTTTGCTTGTTTTCAAAATAAGAAATATTATCAACTTCAAACTTCATGTCAGAGCTGGACACTCCATCTGAGCTGTACCACTGTGAGCAACATAGAATCACAGAATGGTTGGGTTGGAAGGGACCTCAAAGCCCACTCAGTCCCAGCCTGTGCTGTGTGCAGGGCTGCCACCCACCAGCTGAGGCTGCCCAGGGCCCCATCCAACCTGGCCTTGAACCTCCAGGGATGGGGCACCCACAGCTGCTCTGGGCAGCCTGTGCCAGTGAATATCTCTGGCAAAACAAAACAAAACAAAACAGAATAAAATGAAAAAAAAACTAAGGGCATCATTTCCTAAGGCATCAGGCCACCATTCTTTGGGTTGATTTGCCTTTGCTTGCTACCCTGTGCCAGATGCTCCTAAACCAAAATGCAATGGCCTGAAATCTCTCAGATAAGTCACCTGTTGTGGGGTTTACATCTGAGTTAATCAATATATATATATATATTTTTTTTGTACCATTAATATTTCTATCATCATTGGTGGCTTATCATTATTGTTGCATGCTAGAAGGCACCCAAATGGCATGAGGCAGCCATCTCCATGGATTGGCACAGCTGCTTCCCATCCATGACCCAGCAGCTGGTCAGGATGTTATGCCCATCCTGCAGCCTTACAGATGTCTCTAGGAAACCAGGTGCAACAAACAGGCCGTGCCTGGATGGGGTTTATGCCCTGGGGGTGAGATGGAGCCTGATATGAGCGGCCAAAGCAGGGGTGGAGGTGGGGAACCCCAATTTGGGGAACACCCCAGCAGCACTTTGAGGTGCGTCCAATACATCCCAGTGTCATTAGCATGAGCAGGAGTCATCCATGCTTCCCCAAGCTGTAATTTCAGGCTCTCCCAGATAAGTTACAATGCCTAGACACTCTTTGATAACTTTTGCAGGGTTATCTTCACCACTGGGGAACATATTTCCATTCTGATTTAATGAAAGTAGAGATCCTGGAGTCAGCAGGAGCCTAATAAGCAACTCTTAATCCAGGAAATTGGATGTGGTCGGAAACATTCCAGCAGGAAAGTTGGGAGATCCTGCTGTGGCTCATTCCTGATGTGAGGCTCGGAGTCTGCAAGATAATAAATCCAAGTTTAGTGCACCTAATCCTGAATTAAAGAAAAACCACAGCCCACGTAATACAAAGTGGCTAAACAGGTACAAAGATGCTCTCCCAGTCTAAAGATGTGGAAATCACAGAGGGAGTAATTGCTGCCTAAACAGGCCCTTGCCAGCTGAGGAGTGATGCGTACAGGTGGACTTTGATCACGTAGTGCATAGGCTTTTCAGCCAAGCCATTTCTCCAGTCCTCCAAGGTTTAGGCTCAGGATGCCCTCAGACAAATGTCTGACCAGGACGTTTCTTCGTTAGCTGCTGAAAGACTTGGTCAGAGCCACCCAATAGCTCAACAAGTTTGTTTTTTTTTTTTCAAGAAAAGGGTAGATGTGGCACTGAGTGACATAGTGTAGAGTGGTCACAGACGTAGGCTGATGATTAGACTAAATGGTCTTTCCAACCTTAATGAGTCTGTGATTCTGTGATGGAACGCTGAGCAGGTCAACCCTGGACTTGAAGCAGCTGGACTCAGCCCTCAGAGCTCAGGATCCATCTAGTTATGCTGATCCACAGCAGTGCGTATCAGCAAGACCAGAAGGCAGTACCTACATTAAAGCTAGCTGCAGTGATGAAACTTACCTTTTGCAATCATGTTTCCATCTTCATCCCAAGCTGAATTGCAGCATCCATGTTGGAAAGGGTGGGGATGTCCATGAGAGGAGCTGTGAGCTCAAGAAGTGGTGTCACCTCAGTATGGAGAGATCAGCATTGGTGTTTTTGGCAGTAGAGGAGTGCAGGCAGAAAGCTGAGGCTCTAGAAGAAGAGCTACAGTGAGAACCATGGGCAGATTTAGTAACAGATGGGGGTCTGATTCCTCCTACAGCAATGGTGGGTCACAGCCAGAATTAGGGGTTGATCTAAAGCCCCAAAGGCAGCAGCAATTGTTTGAGAATTGTCTGGGATTTCTCACCAAACAAAGGCAATTTGCTGTTTCCAAAGAGATGGGGACATTGTGCAAGGGAAGACTAGTGAGAGGACAGTGAGCCTTCTCAGGAGCTGAGCTGTCTCTTAATCATGAAACCACAGATGCCTTTGGCCAGGACCTGAGAGGGATGCCTAACCTCTGGCATAGGACATGCTTGATGGGTCTCTCTTTGTTGTGATTTCTGGCATCGTGTTCACTTGTAAATGCAAATTTAGTCTGCCCCTGCCACAGTAGTCTGCTCTCCCACCTCACTTTCTCCTCTCCCTGTCCTGCTCAGGGCACAAGATCACAATTTGGAGAAAGCAGGTGCAGTTGTAGATACCACCTGCCTCACCATCATAGCCAAGGCTCAGGTGCTACCGAATTAACATCCCACAGACATTGCTCCCTTCTCTTTATCTGCAGCTCCCTCTGGCCAAGTAGCTTGTCATGGCCAAGGGCACCATTTGCAGCAACAGTATAAGGTCAACTCACTCCCTTCCACTTACATAAAGAAGACATCTCCTAGCTAGAAGGCTAGAGGAGAAGAGATTTATCCCATTGATGAGATCCCACACAGCAGAATGAGCCTGTGCACCAAGATCTGCTGTGACTTATATTCATCTTCCTCATCTCCATCCTTAGCAGATTAAATGTGCTGATAATTAGCCAGGACATCCCTTTGTTGGCTGACCAGCCAAACACTGATAAGGAATGAGGTGATGGGAGGTGAGGATTACCAAATCTAACTGTCCTGGCTCTGTCCTTCTCAACCCACAGTGGCCCTTCTCATGCCAATCCTGTCCTGAAAATAATGGGCCAATACCTCTGCATCTTCAGTGTGGTGAAGTGGGTAGGAGTGCTGCCAGGAACATGGTGAGCAAGACCTTCCTTTCCTTGAATTCATCCATGCCTCATAAGGACACTGATCCTCAACCTTTAGGTTTTGGCATCTCTCCATAGTGGCTTCAATCCAGCAGTAGGAAGGGAGACACAGAGTTGTACCAATGCTAGAAGCTCATGGCCCACAGGCAATGGGACATCCACTACTCCCTCGCCTCAAAGACTAGATAACCTGTTGTGCTAACATCAGGCATTTTTATTCTGGACTCCTGAAAAGCCACTGGAGAGCCCTGGGCTTCAAACAGACAAGCATGGGCCACCAAAGGGAGACTTGGTTCTAAAGGTCAAATTTCCTTGATGTGAATACACTTCCAGCATCTCCTTTGGGCCCTGGGATGGTATTCCCTTTCTTGTTGTTCCCTGTTATCCATGAGCTAGTCTCTAATCTTCCCAGCAGCTTTTGGAGGAACATCCTTGGGCATGCATGACTCCTGGAGCTGGTGGCTACCAAGGACAGGTTACAGCTCCCACAACCACTGCTGGAGACATGGAACTTTCCCTTCATTTTTTAAACAGCCTCCCCCATGAGTAAATATCTAGAAATTTCCCTTCGTGGTCCATCATTTCTTGCAAAGGAACAATTCCTCCTCATCCAGCCACTTGTGTCAAAGGGTGTTCAGAGATCTGGCCCAAAAGCTGGAACAATTTTGTTCCCTCCTGAGCTTTAGAAGGTAGGAGGCTCTCCCTGCTACCTCTGCTGACATTGATGGGACCAACTAGAAGTACCCAACAAGCCTCTGGGGTTCTGCAGTGACTGGGGTGAGAGAGGTGGGTTCAGTCACGTCCTCAGCCCCAAGAGATGGAGAACCAATGGGCCTCATAGAAAGGGAAGAAGAAAGCATTTCAGTGTGTTTCTGTTTTGCCTCTTCTGTTTCTTCCTCTTGAGGAAATCAAAGAGCGTCTTGTGATTTAGAGACAAATATGCAAGACAAGGAAAGATTGAAGCCACAGGCTTGGCCTGCTGCCTGAATTTTTTTTCCTCTTCTTTCAGCATAATTACAATTGAGCCATGTAGTAATTGGGTAACTTTTTCCAAAGGGATCCTTTCACCCAGAGTGAATCACGCTTGCCACAAAGAGAACACAAAGTGGAGGCAGCTAAAAGACCTATAGATCCCATAGTTTATTATAACAGAGCATTTTGCCCCCATCCCCTTGTTTCTCAGCCTTTCAGATGTGCCTAGAGTAAGTGCAAGAGACTGACACTGAGCTTTCTAGGATGAACACTCCCCATTTTTCCAAGAGGACTCCTCCAGGCTTGCAGTCCCCACATGGTTTTGAGGGAAATTAGGGGTTCTGCAGAAGAGTGGCTGCTTTCCCTTCTTTGGATCCTCTACCTTGGTGGCAAGGTCTGGGTCAGAAGCTGGACAGCTCTATGGGACCACAAGGCTTGTTGGTATGGCTGAGACTCCCCACATCCAACATCAGTCCTCTGTACCTGGACCAGAGAGAGTTTCTGAGGCACTGTATACCCTCAGTGATATTCTGACTCCTAGTTTAGTGGAGATGAGGAGCCCAGCCCCTAGACACTTTCTGCCAAGCCTTGATCCATCTGACCATTTTCCATGTGGGATGAAAGGCTTGGATAAAATACTCATTGTGAAACTATTTTCCATTGAGTTCATGGCCACACACAGCTGGATCTCCTCCTGGAGTGGCCAGCAGCCTGCTTGGAAGGGTTGGGATTAGCATCCTGGAGAGGGGCCTGGATAAGGGAAGGAGGAGACACATCTTCCCTTCCCCCAAACGAACTCCTCCCACCTTATTCTCGATCCTATTGGTGGCTGAGGTTGGTGAAGGGCTGGCACTATTCAGCTCTCCATCTATTTAAAGGCAAGGGTGTGGTCCTGCAGCTACTTGCCTGGGACTTTTGCACCTTGGAAGAAAGGAGCATCAGCCTGCATAGCAGCACCATGTCTTGTGTGAGTAGGGAGGGAATGGGGAGGATGGAGCCCAGGAGAGGGGCTACGGGGAAGATGCTGGCTTGGCAGCAGGGTGCTTGTGCTACCCTCTACCTGCTCATCAGTCCCTGTGTTGGAGACTCTGTTAGAGCTGCGTGTCTGCTCCTAGGAGAGTCAAGATCCCTGCTGCACCTATTACAGAGGGGTGGCTGCTATTTCTTGTTCAGGCAGGATTTTTCTTTTCCCCTGCAGGATTCCTCTGGGGAGATATGTGGGGGGTCCTTGCTGGATTGGTTCCTGAGCTGGGGTAACCTGTTTTGCAGAGGTTCTGCTCCAGGGAGGCAGCTGAAGTATTATTTATTGCTTTCTCAGTGTCTCCTTTTCTGGGCTGCCCTATTGCTTGCTTCCTGGCTGCAGTTTTCATGAGTCACTCAATCATTATTTCTTGTATGAAAATGCACTCTTCTAAAGTGCCCTTCTATGAATACCAAGGACTGTTGGAGGGATGCTTGTATCAGGGAAGTGTTTGCATTTTGATTTCTTGCAGTAGTCTGAGAGGGAATAATCAGGGAGTGCCCCAAGTGCAAATGAAACTTTGGTAGAAGAAAAAATTCCTAGTATTCTTGTGGTTGCACCAGGGGACAGACTGGGCAATGAACACATATGGATATGAGTAGTAGCATACTTTCTGCTTGACAAAATGCAGAAAAGTGCATGCAAATTTCTCGCAAATGTTAAATTTTCAGCAAGTAAGCCCCTGGACAAAAGGGAGTGGAATGTCTGAGCTCTTGGACTGAAGCAAGGCTTGAGGCCCAAATCCGAGCCAGGGGAACAGAGTAGAGGCTCCATCCCTGCACAGCCAGGTTTCTTGGGATGACATGAGACCTATACAGTACATGGGTGTGTTTGGGACAGAATGGGTGTGATGGGAGCTTGCAGGTACTTTCACTCACTGCCATGAAATATAGATATGTTGATGACAGCAGCAAAGAAGAAGGTTGGGAAATCAGGCACATGGTTTGTCTGATTGGAGTGACTTCTCTGGGGTGTCCCATGTGCCTTGCCCTAGGGAAAGGGAGTGTCCCTGTCTCTCCCTTGGTCCAAGGCACTGTACTACACTGAGGCAGCAAGGAGAGCTGCCAAAATGAGGGAGCTAGCAGGTGTTGAGCTAATGTCTCTGCCTCCACGTTCAGCAGGGACCAGTGTGCACCAACTTGGGTCTCAAGCCTGGCCAGCGCCTCACTGTCAAGGGGATAATCGCACCGAATGCCAAAAGGTAAGCTGAGCTGTGCCACCCGGGTGTGGCCAAAGCACCATGCTGAGTTGGCTTCTGCTAGTGGGGACAGAAGGAATCCCCTCCCTTGGGTGGGAGTGGAGCAGCTTTGAAAAGGGTTAACACCAGCAGTGTTTCCCGGTGAGTCATTGCCTAATGCACTTTGCAGACATGCTCTACTGCCAAGGGACTAAGCCAGAGCAGATGTGAAGCTCCAGCTGCACGCACTGGCAGTGACCACATCCTCTATAGCATAGAGTAAAGGAAATGGAAGCTCAATCTATACTGAGATGTGGCTTGAGACCATCCTAAAAGCCACATCCTTTCCCCTGCATGAAGGATGCCCAGGAGCACCATTTCTGTACTTTGCTGTCTTGGGCAGACTACAGCTCAAGCAGCTGGGGACATCTTAGGTGTTCTGCTGTCATGGATGCTCTAAGCCACAGACCCATAATGATGCCAGTGATGAAACTACTGGTCCCACTGGAGGTGATAGTGTGGTCTCAGGGTGTTCATCCAGTAGAGATGCCTGTTGTATGCTGGTGGGGAAGGAATGGGGAAAAAGTAGTGAGTGGACAGGTGCACTAGAAGTGCTCCTATCTTTGCAGAGATCAGTGGCTGGGGCCCAGGGTTGGGGACTCTGCAGTAGTTCCCAACCCACATGCAGCTCTGCTATTGGCAGAACTCCTTGTTAGGTGAGGTGGAGCCTGGAGTGCTGTACCAGCACTAGCGGTGTTCCAGGAAACATGTCCCAGCTCTTCCCAGTGCCTTTGAAGTTTGATACTGTCAGCGTGAAGCCTCCTGGGCTTTCTCTTGCCAAATAATATTCCTTCCCACTTCTCATCTCAGTAAGAGGCCTGGAGGCAAGGTGGACAGCAGGCTGGGAAGTTGTTTCCTCCCACTACCATTGCAAGATGCTTTGGGATAGCTAATGAGATGGCAATTACTGCAGCTGCCTGCAGGGTGGGGAGAAGCTGTGGCTGTCAGGCAAAGTGCAGCACCAGCTAACTGTTTAGGGCTGAAAGGAACACAGTGACAAGTAACTTCTAGGGAGTTGGTTTGGGTGCAGAGTAACTCCATGTTCAGGGCTGCACAGCAAACCTGAACAGCGCACCCTCAGCTGGGCTTGACAGAACAGACCTAGACTCAGTGTGCAGCATGCAACACGGTGTTTGTCTCCTTTCTTTGCAGCTTTGTGATGAATCTGGGCAAGGACTCAACCCACCTGGGACTTCACTTCAACCCCCGCTTTGATGCTCATGGTGATGTGAACCTCATTGTGTGCAACTCAAAGAAAATGGAAGAATGGGGTACAGAGCAAAGGGAGACAGTCTTCCCTTTCCAGAAGGGAGCTCCTATAGAGGTAAAGCCTGGGATACACTCTCCATATGTACTGTACTCTGAGCTGGCTTAGAGGTGGGTGGCTTCTCCTGCTTGGTCAGTGCTACCATCCAGATCTCTGAGCAGTAGCAAAGGGTGGGAATCAAATGTGCAAGCTCTGTGTAGCTCCAAGGGATGTTACTGTTGAACTGAGCAAGGAATAGGCGTCACTTGGAAGACTAGAAGAACACTCCTGCTGCTGAAGATAAAGTTATGCTGTTGAGCGTGTTCACTCTGCAGAATGGGAAAGGCTTGAGGGTATCCTGACAGAAGTTTTCTCTGACTCTTCCATTTGTTTTGCAGATCACTTTCAGCATCAACCCAAGCGATGTGACTGTCCACCTGCCAGGCCACCAGTTCTCATTCCCCAACCGGCTCGGTCTCTCTGTCTTTGACTACTTTGATACACATGGAGACTTCACGCTCCGGTCTGTCAGCTGGGAGTAACTCCTCACATCTGTCTCAAAATTTAAAAAAAAAAAAAAAAAAAGCAATCAATAAATGTTTTCTTCTATTTGGTCTCAAGAATTAATCTTATATCACAAACCAACAGGGTTGGACAACTGGGGAACTTGGGGTTGTAATAACGTACTGTGTTGGAAGGTCAGATGTGAGCGGGAGTGACTAAATGCAGCATTGTCTCAAAAGTCATGGTGGGAAAGGGGAAGGTAGGTGGTGGCAAGAGCATGGGAAGGCAGAAAGTGAAAAGTGCAGAAAGTGAAAAGCCCAGGAAGAGTCTGAGTGGGAAACAGTGTCATGGCCAGATACTACTGTGGGAGGGGGAAGTGGAAGGGTACCTTTGGCAAAGACTCTTTTGGTCTGATGCTATGTAAGCTGTAAGCACTGACTAGTGCTGCTGGGAAGGCTGTGCCTTGATAGAAGAACACTATCTTTGGGACCTTGCTTCTAGGCTGGGCTACAAGCAAGGTGAAGGACAAACACTTTGATGTCCTACAAGGGTATCCTGCAGGCCTGGCCAGGCTGATTCTTCTGATTAGGCAGTTACAGAGCAGCTGGTGCACAGGAGCTTGTTCCTAAGCCAGCAGCACTTCCCATTCTTTTTCCATAATTCATGAGGATTTGCCAGATGCTGTGTCTCAGGGACTCATGCAGGGTAAGGTTCAGCTGCTAGGAAATGTGGACTAGGGAAGAGAAGCTGGGCTCAAGATGGACTTTTGGAATGGGAGGCAGGAATACTTGGGGTGTACAAGCAGGTTGAGGCTCTTAAGTCAGATCTCTTGGAGCCTCCTGCTGTTCAAAGCCAGTCTGCTCTGTACGATCGCAGCCTGGTCTTTAAGGCTACGTCTGCGACAGTAAGAACAGCATCTAGTATTGCCACCCTGTGCACAGACACTGCATGGGGTGATATGGGTAAGGTTGTCTTGTCTGGGAATAAGAAAGTTTAGCTGTATGGAATTGAGCTGTGCTGGGCTGGATGGACTCAAGATGTAAGACCTGGCTCAGTTTATGTAACTGAATTTGTCACAACCTGGGGTAATTCAGCAGGACAGAGGGCTGGGGATGTCCTTGACCACAGCAGGGACACAGTGCTGGTGATAGGCCCTTTAATGAACTCTTACGAAGGGCAACCTCACACATAGCAGTGTCTTCAAGCTGCACTTGGGATTCATTTTTCAGAAAGATTCTTCAAAAATATTGGTGAGAGTGAGGGGAAGGAAATTGAATGAAATTTTCACCACAGGCTGGGGATGAATCTTATTCAGGTCTCCCGCTAGCGTGGCTGCTTCTTCAAGTGACTCACTGCTCCCATGATATTTGTGAGTCACTGTTGTCTGGGCTTTGTTACAGCTCTGTCCGTTGCCAGAGAGGCGGTGAGGGCGGTTGGGCTCCTTGGAGATATAATTAAGGCATATAGAAGCTGACTACACCCCTTCACCCACTCTGGCCTTGCATAGCGTGAAGGCTGGAGGATTCCTCACACACGCTAGAACTGGGATCCCTGGGAAGATCACCCTCAAGCAGTTTTGCAAAAGGCATGAAGGAGAACATGCCAGACTGATGACAAGAATGGAACACACCACAAGACAGCACATAAGACAACACTTTTATTTCATTACTCAACCCTCACAAAAGCCTGGGAGATATCCCTCACTCAGGGCACTGCTTATCACCCAGGGCTCCCCCTGCTATTCGCCATGAGCCCCAACATTTACACAAAAGCCAGGAGGGTGCTACAGCCTCCTAGTGCATTTGGGATGCCGGCGGTAGCTACTGGCTAGCAGGGTATAAAGGAAGGGATTGATACAGCTGTTGCCATAGGCGAGGCAAGTGACACCAAAGTTAAGATAGGCCTGGGCAGTGGGGCCCATGCCTATGCCCTCATGCTGGTATAGCCCAGCCAGTTGCCAGCCCCAGAAGGGGAGGAAGCAGGCCCAGTAAGCCACTACAATGGCAGAGATCCTGGAGGAGAGACGCTGGGAGGGAGCCCGGCCGGCCACTGACAGTCCTGGGTGCCAGGTGGAAGAGCGGTACACCCGGGCCAGGAGGGTGTAGACAATGATCAGCACCACACCGGGCACCAGGACGCTGGTGGCAAAGAGCACCGTCAAGTAGAGCCGGAAGGCTGCTGGCGTCCACGTGGGGATGCAGATGCGCTTGTTGGGACCATCGCCCTCCCGCAATTGGGTCATTGCCATCATGGGGGCCGTAAGCAGGAAGGCAAGGAGCCAAAGGATGGCACTGGCTGGCTTGCGATAAGCGCTGCCAGCCCGCCTGGCCCGCAGCGGCTTGGTTACTGCCCAGTACCTCTCCAGGCTCATGGCGGTCAGGAGGAAAATGCTGGCATGCATAGTGAGGAGGTCCAAGCTGAACAAAAGTTTGCAGCCCACATCTCCAAAGAACCAGTCATGGGTGAAGTAGGTGCAGACCACGAACGGGATGGTGGTGAGGTACAGGAGGTCAGCCAGGGCGAGGTTGATCACATAGACCCCCAAGGAGCCTGCTGAGCGGCCTGCCACTTTGCCAGAGGCCACCAGCACTGTGTAGATGTTCCCCACCATCCCAACGAGGCACATGAGCAGCAGCACTGTGCCCAGCGGCCCTGTCACCGAGCTGTCCCCTCCTAGAACGCTGCTGATGTCATCCTCACCGCTGCTTTCCTCTAAGAAGCTGCCACCCTCAGGGTCCTCTCCAGGCGTTACACTGATGAGGGAAGAGTTGCAAGACATCTTTGGGGATGCAGTGAAAGAGCAGTCAGGCTGCTGGAGACCCTCTCCTTCCTCCTGCCTTCCCTGCCTGCTGACACAGCTACTTCTAACAAAAGCAGCCAAGGAAGGGATGAACGGCACAAACTCAGCAAACCTAAGTCTCCAGAGAAGTCTATTCCTCACCTCCAGCCATCCAGTCTATTTTGCCAATCTTGTTCACCACAAGTGCCGTCTGCTGGTTTTTCTCACGCTGAAAAAGGGACACCTCCTCCCCTTCAAGACTGATAGGTGCAAAGAAATGTCTGCCAGAGAAGAGGAAATGTCTGTCTTCTTCACCAGCTTCCTCACTTGTTGCTCCTCCAGTATTCGCTGGGCAGAAAATCAGCAGACTCTATGGACAAGTGCATTCCTCCTTCCCTCAAGTCTCGGTGTTCTCTCAGCTCTGCTGCTGGGTAAGTGTCCCCCCAACCCAGCCCTAGAGAGCTGCCTTGCCCACTGCACAGGAATGCATCTGAGTCAGCTTCACACACAGGTGTGAACGTGGTCCCAATTTGTACTGAGCTGCTAGTCACCAGCTGAGGATCCAAGGGGAGCTCCTGTTTTAGATGATACATTCCTTCTTCCCCACTGCCTTCTTCCTTCTCTCCTCCTTTTTCTTTACTCCCTTTCTTTTCCCCATTCCCTCTTGCTCAGTTTTCCTCCTTTGAAGGAAGATTTAATGAAAGATAAGACTTCTGAGTCCGGCAGGAGGGAAAAACAATTGAAGCTTTAAGAGAGAAACAAGGATCAGCCCTAAAAACTGAAAAAAACTGATGCTGCCCTCTGACCCTTAGCTAAGCTAGGGTAAGAGGGCCTGCCCCGCACTCATGGCCAAAGACCTCCTGAGGTGTAGTCAATGCATTTAGTCCCTAGTCTTGCTATCAAAGACCCCCACAGACCACTAAAGATCTCCCATTCTTATAGCCAGACACTCTCCCACCCTTGTCATTAGTAACCATCAAGCTCCTAAAGATCAAGGGGCTATTTATTTCAGTTCCACTCCTTCCTTCTTCTCTCCAAAGGCCACCCTCCTCCGCCTTTAAGATTCCCTTCACCTGCCTCGCAAGACCAGGAAGCAAAAGTGTGTGGGGCACTGCCTTCTACTGGAGTATCACAATATGACATTTGTTCTGCAAGGCTCTTTGTGCCAAGCACTGCCCTGCTCTCCTTTCCCCACATCCGAGCCTCGTTTGTCTGAGAGAGACATGCATAAGACTTCCCTTATACACTACTGCATAAATGTATATGTAAATTACATATACATATGTAATGTACAGGTCAGAAAGCAAGTGCCAGGACTTTGACATCCAGAGAATAGGGTGGTAGATACTCCTGTATTCCTAACTTCAGACATCAACCCCTAGGCTGTATTAGATTCAACAGTGTGTCTGAAGTCTGTAGAAGACATGCTATTGACTGCTCACTGCAGGAGCCAGCCTCTCTCCATTGGTTTAACTACAGAGACTCAAACCTGACAGCTGAACTTCAATAACATGAATGTCCCTCACAATATCTTCTCTAGGGCAGTATTTCATCTCTTACCACTTTTTTCTTATGCACACATGTACACTGTCCATTTACATATACATACATAACTGCTGTTTCTGAGCTCAGGAGCAATCAGAAAATGATCTCCATACAAACATGGTCTGAAGCTCTCAAGCCCATATAGATGGGAAGAAACACATCTCACACGACTGCTAGATTAAATCTTTTACACGACCTTTTTCAACTGTAGCTCTAGATGATTAAATAACCAGATGTTTCACATCTCTGTCACCAGCAGAGAAGCCACTTCTTGTAATGAAAGTCTCTCCTAGTCCAGCAGCCTCTACAGCCAACTGAGCATTATCTCCAGTAAAGCAGCTGTTTTCTTGTACAAGGTTAAACCTTGTGCATTCTTGCATAAGGCCACCCACAGTTTTCTGCAAATGTGATGCTAGGTCCCATGTCCATCACAGCAAGTGCTAAGTTTTTGAGGCCCTATCAACAGGCAAGGCCTGTCAACATCCAGTCAGATCACAGCAGTTTACCACTGACAGTTTGCACTGAGAATTCAGTCTCACAGAGTCTTGGACTTGAAGCAGCTTAAAAGGAAGATTGTTCTTGGAGAGAAAAAAAAAAAAAAAAGTGCTTCAAAGAGTAGGCTGCAAGAGCACTGTGTTTCTCCGACATCAGTCTTCTCTCCTCTTCTGACAGCCCACCCAACAGGACCAGGTGGAGTTAAGTTACAGCAAGGTTCCTGCCCAGCTTTCTATGATTTAAACTTGAAGTAGGCTTCAACTGTAGAGAAGAAAAAAGGCAGTGCTTTAGGGCAATACTCTGTGGCAGAGCAACAAGAGGAGAAAGAAACATCATCCAAGCACTTACTAGCATATTCCTGTGGTGTCATGGCCTGGTTGATGATGCTTGTGAAAGCTGTGATCCAGTCCAGCTGGTCAGCCTCTGTCTCACACGTGAAGAGGTATTCTCGGTCAGGTGTGACAATGGTGATGCCATAGGGCCAAGAGAAGTTGCCTTGTGTCCCTGAAGGCAATCCCTTCTGGACGCTATAGCCATTCTCTCTGCTGCCCACAAACACCTCACCCTTAGCAAATGCATCCTGCACATCCAGAGGGAAAGAGAGGGATTAACAGTACCCAGGAAGAACCAACTAATAATAGCAGTGCTCCTATGGGCAGCAGGAGAATGGGTAAGGATCAAAGAGGTAGCAGCAAAAAGACCTGAAGCTGTTCAGGAGATTAAGAACTGGGAGGCTATGCCCAAAGACAGTGACTGAAAGGAAAATTTAGGAGAACAGATCTCAAGAGGTCTGAGAGAGGGAAAGCTGCATCTGCCTCTCCATCAACACCTTCCATGGTATTCCCCTTGACACCACGTCCTTTACACCACAACCTTCCCTGTTCCCATTGTTTGCAGGCAGTAAGCGAACAAAGAAAGTGTAGGATGAACAAAGTGGGATGGAAAGGGGAAGACCTAGAGTCCATACAGAGCCACTGGGAAACCCACAAGCCTCCCTTACAACAGAGCAAAGCAAAGAAGCAAGACTCAGTGCTGATCCTGCCCTCAGCACTGTTGCCTACAGCTGTCAGAGGTCGGATCTCGCCCTCACCAAAGGGTCCTTGAAGTACATGAGTCTGCGGTGATCCAGTGTGAACCAACGCTTCTTAAAAGCCTCTCTCTGCTGTAAAGGGAAGAGGTGACATACGTAAGGTGACAGTGCCCTCTGCCGTGAGCAGTGCGAATGGATGCCCAAAATTCATCACAACTGCTTGAACCAAGCCCCTGCCTTAATAGCAGCCTTCTTTCTCCCTTTAAGCTGAGAGCGAGGAACAGAAAGCAATTTTTCAGTCCCACTGTAGTGTCAAAAGAATAGGGGGGAGAGATGGGGAAACTGGGAAAAAAAAAAAGGAGTATGGAAAATCAATGGCTCTCTGGCAGGTTCCTGTTAGATTTCTTCACCCACAAGCAGCTCACCTTGGGACCTGTCTTCTCCATGTATCCTTCCTTCAAGAAGTTTCTTGTCAGCCGGCTTTTAATCTGACAAAAAGTTAAGAGTAACATTCACTTAGCAACGTTGCTTTGCTGTTCACTTTCAACCCCATGGCCTTCCTTCTGTTTGCCCAAATTCAGCTCCCTTTTAAATTCATGTTTGTAGAACTGCCTTAGCCAGGAGTCACTTTGGTCTCCAGCGTGCCCAGAAATAGGAGAAATGAGCTGCTCTCTGCCATCCCAGGCTCCTGTATGCACACTTTCTCATTTCTCTATCTAAACACTGCAATTTCCACTTCTGTGCCTGGGGATCTAATAATAACTAATGGGCTCTTTTATCAGAGCAACCGAACATCAGCAAGAGACTCAGCACTGCACTCTAGTGCTGCCTTACCTCATTATCGCTGGCTATGGGAAATGCTACCTTCAGATAATGGAACTGCACGGACCGAATGGCATTGAACCAGTCCACTACCTCCTGAAAATAAAACAGGAGAGAACAGAAAGCTTAGGGACAGCCATAGTGAGACACTCAAATTCATCCAGCTGCACCTAACATTATGTCAGCTGCAAAAACAGCCAGCTTTCCATTCTCCGGGCCTCAGCCTCACACACACATACAGACAGCACAGGCAGTACATCTGCACACCTTCTGCAGCAGCTCCTCCCACAAAAACCCACTCAGCCAGTGCTCTTGCTCTGCTCCCTGCAGCAAAACTCTGTCACAGTCCAGAATTCTCAACCTGTTTATCTACAGCAATTCCCACACATGCACACACCTTCTATCCCAACTCATTCCTCAGACTACTCGGTATCAGTTAATTCTCCAATGAGCTCAATGTCTTTGCAGTATGATGCTAAACAATATACCTTTCCACTTTTATGGTAGACAAATATATTCCGAGTCTTGTTGTCTTTGAGATAGGTGATCTGCAAGCCATTGGGGTTCCCAATCTTCTCTGGTTGGAATGTAGCATTGATGACATCTATTTTGACATTGATTTTGGGTTCTTTGGCCTGAGAACAGAATGGCATTGATCATGCATGAGCAATTCTAGTGGAAAAGCAATCTAAGTGACTGACTTAGTAGGATAAAGCAGGGTTAGAAGGTCTTAAAAATGTACTAACTGCCCCTTCCCATCGAAACAGTTGTTGTACACATTCTCTTTGCTATGTGGCATGCCCAAATAATGGCTCAGCCCCTCCAGTCTAAATTTGAGCTGTGCCTACTCTGGGACAACCAGTGAGATGCTAAAAGTGCTGAAAGTCTGACTTTACAGCTGACGTGGTCTAAAGGCTAACTGGCCCTAAAAGGAAAGACTTTACACCTAGCCCTCCCTACCCTAAGCCATTCCCTCACTTGTGGCAGTATACTAGCATTTGTCCCATTTATTTCAGGGAGACAAACTAGCAGAAAAGCCCTACTTAAAATAAAGGGTTTTTGGCAACTTAGTTCACAGTAAGGTGAGGTTGGTTCCAAGGACAGCACATGGTTGTACAGCCAGGCAAATGGACTAGAATGAAATGAAAGATCAACATTTCGATCAGCAGTGAGATTGCAGGACTGTATCTCAGTCCTGCACTCTGAGATTCACCAGTGAGACAAGAAAAGAGGAGTCTCATGGAAGTGCCATTGCTTCCCTGCCATGAGCAAAAAAACTGTTGAAGAGGTAAGGATGTGGAAAAGCATGAAGGGAAGATGCAGGGAAAATGTCAGCAGTTGGAAGGGAATCCCTCTTCTATGATGTATTACTATCTCTGGCCTGGATGAGTAAGGAAATCTCACAGAGATAGAAGAGTTTCCATAACCCATAGCCCTGAGTTGACCACCATACTCACATCCTGCTTGGTGAAATACTTTAGACATCCCTCCCTCTCTGACAACAGGAACTTGCGGGGTTGGAACTGCCCGCTGTCTCGACCTCGCTTCCAGAGGATGCCTTCCTTCACCCCTAGGAGCAGAAAGGTCAGTTTGAAGAACATCCCCCCAAGAGGAATCCACCAGCAAAGCAAATGGTTTTGAGCAACATCAGTTGGTAATACCATGCTTGGAAACAATTTACAGCAGTGCCAAACTACACTTCCTGCAATTTAAACAACTCCAAGCCCATGCTCTGTACCTATCGGGCAGGTACTTGGGAGTACTTGTGGGATTTGCAGCACTGATGAGCTTTCTCCTCACGGTGCTCAAAAGCTTCCAGGAAAGGCAACAGGCAGCAATTCTGACGTTATGCCCTGCTCTTACCATCTGTATACAGCAGCTGTTTTCCAAGCTCAGTGAACTCTTTCCGTTCGTATTTGGCCCGTATCCACTGTTCTCTCAGCACCCTGCAAGAAGAGGTGACAGGTAGCTTAGAAACAAACTACAGCAATCCAGAACTGCCCTCCCCCTTTTCATTTGTATGCAGCAACTTACTGGCAGTCATTGTAGGTTGGCTGGTAATAGTAAATAGGGATGTGAGCTTCATACATGGCCTTAGTCACAGCATTCCCATGCTTGGCCAGAAACTGCAGTTAGAAAGAGAGTTAGTGCCTTCTCTTTGATGTAGACTCATGTTGTGTCTAGATGGAGCTGGCAAGTGAGAAATCAGTAACCATGAGCAATAAAGACCCTGAATGTTGGCAAGATATGATGCAAGAGATCTGTGCCAGCCATAAAGTAATAGGACACAAACAGGCACTCAAGGCAAGCACATCCTCCCTCTCCCAGCAATTTAAGAGGAATTATCCCCAGTTGCACACACGTAGCAAAGTTACACTAATCTCCAACTTTGTGAGGCCAAAGGCCAAAAGAAGAGTTGGTGTACAACCTAGACCCAACCCCAACATACTAGTGGGACAAAGTTCTCACCTGCACCTGAGCATCATCCCAGTGGTCCATCTTCAGGGATTTGACTTTGCTGATGCTAGGGATGTTCCGGTGAATTCCTGAGCAGCTAAGGCATATAAAGACACCCAAGGTAGAGGATGCCCAGTCAGGATCTGAGGGCATAAAAAAGGGGCGAAGGTATGACTAGAAGTGGTAAATTCCTTGGGGAGATATGCCTCAAATGAGAATGCATTACTGAGAAATGGAGATCTTGGTAACCATGGTTTCAGCTGAGCTGACTAATTAACCAAGCGTACAGAAGGCAGTCTGGACAAAGCATAATGCTGCTGCATTCCTCCTGCTTCAACTGCTTAATCTGAATCTCTATTAACTTGAACCTTCCAAAGCGCTCTGCAAACTCCCTTTGGGTAAAGAATCATCTGAGACTCCAGGAGCTGTTTCGTGCAAAAGAGCAAACCCACAATATATTTAGCTCAGGAAGTGAAAAGCAACTGTAAAATCGGAATTCTCAGGGGAAAGTTTAAGAAGGTAAAGTGGTACTAATTAGACAAATTAATTTGTCTTGGATGGTACAACCCACACGTTCCTTTTGGAAGAAGTGCAACGGTCATTTTTAGCAGTACTGGTAGACTCCAAACCAGTACCCTTTGGAGAGGATAAGCTCTTCAGTACAAGAAACCTCCCAGGTTGTCCATGGCAAGTTGTCAGTTCAGAGCTGAGTCAGAGACAAGACAATGCCCTCCTGAATCATGCCTTTTTTCTGGAGCAGTTAGGTTTCCACTGGGAGCTTTCCTCTCAGGTCCTGACTGGGCATGACTTTGATTTGTGTCTGAACCAACACTACTGCAATCCACAGTGCTGCAGCTTCAGCGCTGCCGCATCCCTTTCCTTCTTTCCACCAGCACTGCGGCAGCATCTCCTTTGTCTTCCCTTCTCCCCCACTTCTGGGGCCCCCTACAGCCTGGACAGATGGAATCAACTCATACAATACTGCTGGGTTTTGCACAGGTTCCAACAACCATCCCCTAGCATCACTCCTTCCCATTCTCATACGCCCCAAGGCACTGAGCTGGCCACAATGGCTACTAGAGACCAAACCCAGTCCGTTCTTCTGACCCATCCTCAGAAGATCCAGCCCTCAGGGACTCACCCGGCTTCCCGCAGTCTGCACACAATGAGTTTTCTGCTCTTCTCCACACCTCCCTCAGGGCCTTCATGCTCTTATCACCTCCAGCCATGGTGTCAAATTGTCACCCCCTTGGGCAAGGCAGGTGCCTGTGTCTTCTGCACTTGCAGTGCACCCTGAGGGAGAAGGAGCCACCAGCAGGCCTTGCAGGAACAAGATGGGAAGGCAGGAGAAGCCCTGAGATTAATGGAATGAATATGCAGGCCTAATGGTGCACCTGAGCCGGCAGGGAACAGGCTGGGGCAAAGAGGCCGAAGTGCACCCAGGCTGGGAGAAAAGAGGAGGAGGAGGCAGCCGAACCCATGGGCGTGGAGGGAAGTGCAGTAATTAACCACAGAACTGGTTTTTCCGCATTTCTGCTGGGGAAGAGGACTGGCCAGGAAAAGAACCCCAGTAGCCAGAGAGCTGATAAAGACAAGGTGACCTGGGATGAGGCAGCAGTTCTTGCCACACTCTGCGAGCTGACTCTGCCAACGCTTTCCTTCACAACACTTGTGGAGCTTCCGCTGAAGTCAGCTGGCTGCTAAACAAGAGTTACACTCATTAAAGCGAGGACGGGAGGTCATGAGAGGTTCAAGAGTTCAGCTAAAGCCAACCCAGCCAGCCAGCAGTGGGACCAATCCCCACAACTGCTCCCGCATCTTGGAAACAGCCTCAGAGCTGAGATCTATCCTCACGCACACCTCCCCGGGCTAAGTAGCACAACACAGACACCACCGCACAACGACGCACTACTTAGAAATAATGTTTTTATGAGAGAGGCGCCTAGGCACAAAATGGCGGCCGGGGGACGGCCCTCACAGCGCCACACCTCCCACAGGGCAGAGCTGTGCGGAGCCGGAAATGGAGAGACCGGAAGAGGCGGGGACTCCTTGGACCGGAAGAGGGGTCTGGCCGGAAGTGGAGTGGCGGCAGCGTGGGCTAGCCATGGGTCGGAAGAAGAAGAAGGGGTCTGGAAGCGCTGCATCACGGCTGGTGGTGACTTTTGATGAGGAGAGGCGGAGGTGAGGTTACGAGGGGTGCCAGGTGGCAAAGTGAGTGGGGAATGGGGTCGCTGGAAGCTGAGGTTTTGCTCTGTTCCTGGTGTTTAGGGAGTACCTGACTGGCTTCCATAAACGGAAGGTGGAGCGGAGGAAGGTGGCCCTGGAGGAGATCAAGAGGAAGCTGAAGGAGGAGCAGAGGAAGATGAAGGAGGAGGTATAGCTCCTTCTGATGACAAGAGACCCTTTGCCACGTCAGGGTTGTGGGGCAGGCACGTAGCAACTGTTTCCTGGGGTCCTCGCACCCCCCTTCGCTCACTTAGGGGGGGGAATAGACCCTCGTGGATGGAGGGATTGGGGTGAAATGGACACTTGGAACAGCAGGGGTGCTGTAGTGACCTGTTTGTCTCTCCCAGAGGCACAAGGAGTACCTGAAGATGCTGCGCGAGCGGGAGGAAGCTCTTGGTATGTACGTGCTCTATGCCTGTAGGGTTTGGGCTCTTTTGCAGCAGAATGGATATCAGAGGAGTTAACTGTCTGTGAGAGGCACCAAGCTGAACAGCCCCTGTGGCTGGGCAGACATAGCTGTAATAGTGGTCCTACCCCAAAGGGATGTTGCCTCATTCCTCTTGTGTCCCTCTGAGAAGCTGGGCAATAGCTTGTGCAGTGGGCTGAATGGGGCCCCCTGTCCCTTGTGGGAAAGGAAACTGGGCAGGTTGGACAGGAAGGAGTATGCAGGAGGGTATCTCCAAGGCATTGAGATCTTGCCTGGGAAAGGCAGCTTGTCCTTCATGCCTTAACCCTGCATGTAAAGACTGGAACTCCTGCCCCCAGCATGATGGTGCAGGAAACAGAATCATTAAGGTTGGAAGAGATCTGTAAGATCATCTAGTCCAACTGTCTACCTACTACCAATATAGCCTACTAAACCATGTTCCTAAGTAATACATCTGCCCTTTCCTTATATACCTGCTGGGACAGTGACTCCACCACCTCTTTGAGCAGCCTGTTCCAATGCATCACCACTCTGTTGGCTAAGAAATTTTCCATAATATCCAACCTGAACTTCCTGTGGTGCAACTTGAAGCCACTGCCTATAATTGCCTATTGCTTTTATCTGCAGAAGAGGCCAACCCCCACTGCCACAGCCTTCTTTCAGATAGTTGTAGAAAGTAATAAGGTACCTCTGAGCTCCTCTTCTCCAGACTGAACAACCTCAGTTCCCTCAGACGATCACCATCACGCTTGTGCTTCACACTCCTCACAGCACCATTGTCATTCTCTAGACATGCTCCAGAGCATCGATGTATTTCTAGTAGTGAAAGACATAAAACTGAACACAGCACTTGAGATGCAGCCTCACCAGAACTGAATACAGGCAGGTGGTCACCTCATTGCTCCTGCTGACTGTGCTATTTCTGATACAAGTCAAGATGCTATTGGTCTTGGCCAGCTGAGCACACTACTGGCTCATATTCAGCTGGGCATTAACTAACACCTCCAGATCCTTTTCCTTCATGCAGTTTTCCAGCCACTCTGCCCCAGGCATCTAGTGTTGTGTGGTGCTGTTGTGAGTGTACTTTGTGAAAAGCTGATATTTTTGTCTTTCCAGATGAGTTTGATGAACTGGAGCACTTGGTGACATCGCGGACGGAGTCAGTGAACATTGACCACCCAAACCATATTGTAACAGTCACAACCATCAGTGACCTGGACCTCTCAGGTGCACGCCAGCTGGGACTGACCACCTCTGAGGTACTGCCTCTTGCTGACTGTCTGATTGCATCAACTATAAATGTTCTTGGGGCTAGTTAGATTGGCACTCCATGAATATGCCAAAAGGCTTGCAGCTGGCTAGCAGCGAGGATGAAGGGGGAAACTGAATTTTCACATTTCTCCATAACTTACATTGTGTCACTACAGAGGAAGAAATGTCATTCTTGAACAGCTTTCTTCTCAGCTGCCCTGGAATTGTTTGCTAATTAACCTAATGTTAGTGGAAGGTACCACAGATCTGGATAGGGAGAACACAGTATTGTAAAACCAGGTACAACACCAGTAATGAGAATTTAGGCTTCACTGCATGGACTGGCCTCCATGATTTTCTGTGACCTGTCCATGAACAGTTCAGCTAGGCTGAGGAAGGATTCTGCTCTCCATGAACCTATGCTTGGACTACAAATAAATCTTTTGGTTGCGCTTGTGGTTGCTTCTGTTCTCAAAACAGATTTTAACTGAGGTCTCAAGTTTGTTTCATAAAGGTTCTATGGTACTGACTGATGCAATCCTTCTGATCTTCATGAGTTGTGAGTGGATTTTGAACACCTTGGAAAAGTCCTGTATTAATCAGTTAACTTTTTACACTTTTGAGGACATCTTCTAATCTGAAAATCAGGTTAAGGAGACTTTAATAGTAATTAATAGAAGGAAAAAGCTGAAACTTCCAATTCATATATGTGGCCAGTAAGATAGTGCTGAAGTTGATCTTGGGATTGATGAACGTGGGACTTCTTGCTGCTTGTCATTTTCTGAAGGGCTGCAATAGCAAAAACCTTGAGACTTGAGCAAGGCTTGTGTAAAATTTAAAGTGTTGATCTGTTACTGTGTTTTGCAAATAGGAATGAAACTAAGAAGGTAGCAAAAACACTGGAATCGTGAGACTGTTTATTTTAATGTGTTCATAAAGATGTGTTTGTTCCTTCTTTTAAGGGAAAAAGTGATGGTTCAGAAGAAGAGAAGGGGGAAGAGGTGGTGAACAAGCCTGCTACAGCAATGCCCAAGAAGTCCAGAAACCCTTTCCTATCTGAAAAGTAAGTATAAGTTCATTCAACTACTTGCTGCTGGGCAGTGTGAGATCAGGAGGATCTTTTGTTTCCAGATCAGTGGTGTGATTGCAGGGAGGGAATGCTGTGCTGCTTAGGTGCTGGTGGACAGGAGCCAGCAGAGGGCACTGGCAGTCTGGAAGCCTGCCTCTGTCAGTCTGTTTCTATCACATTGATCTCTGGTAACAGTGGAGTGAGGTGGATGTGGTGTAGGTTGGGCTTTGCCCTGAACTGTTTGTATAGTCCTTCTCCTGTCCTGTCAGTATGGTGCCCATCACAGTGGAGTTCCCCTGGGACATGCAGTTACTTGTGTCCATTCCTGTTGGGCCACACAGGGCTGTCCTGCTGCTGTTCTAGTATCACCTTTCTGCAGTGCACTTTGGTGCACAAACATTTATCTCTTCCTATCCTCCCCAGGATCTCTTCTCTTACTGCTACGCTGCACATGCACAGCCGGAAAAAGAAGAAAGGAAAGCGACCCCAACGTGGGCAAGGTCCATTTAAGAAAATCCAGAAACCCACCATGAGGCGAACCACTAAGACTCAGCGACGGAGGCTAACGGGTAAAATGGGCCGCGACCAAGATTAATGGAGAGCCAGGTGCTCAGAGCTGCAGCTGGGACTGTTTTCAGCAGCTGGGCTGCTGTTCTTTGTGACCCCTTCATAATGATCAAGGACCTTGTTTACTTGGCTCTCTGAGCCCAGTTCAGCCTTACTCACCTGCTATGTGTTGGCCACAGGCACGAGACACTGCATTTATTTTGCAGTGGTCTCCAATTAAGTATGTAGGTGCCACAGAATCTCTGAAATCTTCTGTTGGAGGTCAGATTCTCTGTATGGCATAACCCTTATCTGACTTTATCAAAGGAGAGAATCTAAAGCTGAATGCAATGGACACACTGTCAGGGGTCTGAGACTGGGAAGAGCTCCGCTTCCACTTGTGAACCAATGCATTGCTATTTCTGCAGTGCAGTAAATTCTTTTTCCAGGAAGATATGGTGTCATCTTGTCTCATGTTTCTTCTTCTGTGCCACAGCTGAATGCAGGGATACTTTTTCTTTTTTGATTGGTAGCCCTGCCTGTGGCAGAGGGGTTGGAGATTCATGATCCTTGAAGTCCCTTCCAACCCAGGCCACTCTGTTATTTTTGGTATCTATCCCAAATGAAATGTAGTAAGTTTATTCTGTGAAGACATTTTGCTAAGAGAAATACGTGGCTTATACTTATAGGTGCTGTTATAACTGAAGCATAACAGCAACTATGTTAATACCAGTACCAGCTGGAAAGAGGGTTAATGATTCCTATTGCTGGAAAAAAAAAAAAATCTTTAAAATCTACTGGTGCTCAGGAAAGGGAATAGCTAGGAGCTGTTTTTGTGGTAATACAGAACCCGCCAGAGCAGGAATGGCTCATTCCATTGTCTGCTGAATGTGCCGATGTTAATTCCGATAGCTCAGAGGAGTATGAAATCCCTTAATGCCCTTGCTGCATGTGTGTGGCCTTCTCTGGGATGGGAGTGGCAGAGGCTGTGTGTTACCTCAGAGCGGCTGCCTTCTGCTTGGAAACCTTGGTATGTGTGTTTTAGCATGGATGTCTTCAAGAGAAGGGAAAAAGAAGTCACCATGCATCTGCATGGCTGGGGTAAGGAATGCTTCTGGTTAAATAAAGTCTAGCTTCAGAGGAGAGAAAAGAGCCTGAGCAGCACACTGACGTCTGTCATGGAGTGTCTGTAGGATGCAGTGATCATCCTGCCTCTGCCAGGTTCTGACCAGCACCTGGATGGGGCATCTTCCCTTACAATGTGTGTGCTGGCATGGCACACAGAAATGACAAAGGGGAAGAAGGCCTTTGTGGCCAAAACCCATGCAGAAAATTGGAAACATGGCAGTAGGTGAGTAAGCAAATTGCCTGTGCTAGAAATAGGAGGGAAAAAGAATAACAGGTGTTGGAGGCCTTGTGGAAGCAGCAGCTTACTAGCGTGTTCCTGTCTCACCTTCTCATGTTAGGTGTTTCAGAGATACAGAAATACAACTTATGGGCAAGGCTGACAGTCTGATGGCATGCTTGGATCCTAGCTGTCAGGGTTGTACAGCAGCTTTTCCTCTTTCCTTGGTGCCTCATGGTGCCTCAGAGTGACCAGAGGCACAATGAGACTTGTACTTTGCCTCCCAAGGAGTTTGCCCTGAAGCTGGAATGGCCACTGTTTGCAGTCCATGTGTTTGTCATGCTGCAAAACCTGCTGAAACGTGGAGTGTGAACTTTGGGTTGGGTTTGTGGAAGCCTGGAATGACAGTGGGACAGTGTTGAAATACCTCATTATAAGCCTGATGGGATGTTAAGAGCAACATCAAGGTATTTGTTATTTTGCTGCCAGGTGATTTAGAAGAATTACTGGCCCTAATAACTTCTGAGCCTTTCTCAAGCCACAGCTGAAATCCTGAAAAGCCTTCCATGCTCAGGGGAAAAAAATTTAAAAAAGCAAAAAAAAAAAAAAAAAGAGTGGAAAAGCAGAACCATTAAATCCTATATGGAGTTAACCACAAGTATTGTTTGCTGTGCTATTGATTTCTCCATCTGATTGATTCATGCTTGATTTTGTAATGTGAATTACTGACTCATCCTTTGCCCGCTTTGTTATGTGCAGGGCTGAAACTGGGCTACTCCAGGATATGCTGGGTGAAGGATACCAGCTCACACACACGAGTTCGTGTGTGAAGCAGTTGCCAGGCACATCCAGCATGTGGTTTACAGTCTCTCTGCAAGAGTCATTGTGTCATTCGCTGCTTCCCCTCCTTTTCAAGACAGTTTTCAGTGTTATTTTTGCTTTTTCCCTCTGGCTGCTCACAAACGAATTCCAGCTGTTGATGAGGGAGCTGCTTCTGAATATGTCCTACCTGCAAAAATCACTGGCTAGTGTGGCCGCTGCACTGGAAAGTCATCACCATGACCACAGTGTGCCCCAGGGTGACCAAACTGTGCCCAGTGCCCACACTCAGCCACAGCCTTGTCCCCAGATATAGGGGACCTGGGTGGTGGTGCTGCTGCTGCCCAAGACCTCGAATAAAAAGGACATGAAGCTCCAATATGGTGTGTCCGTGCGTGATGACTTGCTGGCTAGACTGTGATTCTGCACACATACATGCACAAAAATGTGATTGGGATTACAGAGGATCAAAACGAGACAGGGAGGTCAAATAGTCATGGAGAAACTGGAGCTCAGTGCAAAGATGAAGCTGCAGTGTGTGTGAGGTGTGCCGTGTTGCTTCTGTGGAGCGTACCGAACTCAAGGCTGCATGCAGCGCAGTCTTATTGCTGCTGCAAGAAAAGAACCGGGGATTAACCTCACGGGGTGCCAGACAAGAGCTTTTGAGAGCCAAGGGAGCTGGTTAGCAGGGAGTCCTAGCGCTTGCAGATCCATCCTGCCGATGTTAACCATCTCTTGGGGCAGGAGCCCGAGGCTGCTCGCTAGCAGGGGATGAGGACGAGGGGAAAAAGCGGCAGCCCCCCGCTCGGGTCGATCGCCCAACCGCTGCCACCGACACGTGGGTGCCCGCACACGTGCCCGCCGGCGCGCCGCCAAGCAGCCACTCAGAGGGCAATATTCAAATCTGTGCCCGGTCGAGGCCAATGAGAGGGCAGTGGGCGGGGCTTGGCTGCCCGCAATTCCCAAGGGGAGCTCCATTCAAAGGGGAGCTCGGCGGGGAGAGCGGTGCTGGGAGTCATGGGGAAGTGGAGGTACTGGGGGTACTGGGATGCACTGGGAAGGATAGCTACGGCTGCATGACTGCTAGAGGTCATGGGGAGCTCAGTGGGCCCCAAGAGCCCTGCGGGATGAGGGAAGCAAGGGTTTGCCCATCAGGCAGTGGGATGCTCTGGGTTCATACCACGTGTGGCAAGCAGCGGGCACGGCTGGATGTTGGGCTCTTTCTCTCTGCATTGCTTGCAAGTGACTGCTTGGGTTCAGGTCTGTGAGTGAGTCTAGAAATCGTGCCTTCCCCAAGCTGCCTGCATCAGAACCTGTTGAAGGGTGCAGAGCAGCATCCCTTTCTATAAAAAGGCTCCTGTTGGGACATACCCTTTTATTATGTGGGTCATACTGATGGCCTTACAGCTAGATGCCCTTTGATTCTAGTATAGCCAGCCTAGTGCAGCAAGCTTCAGTCTGAGAATAACATTTGTGCTTCCACAGGAGCCTGAAGATGTGGAGCTGAAAGCTCAGCTTTCTGCTGCTGTTCCTTTCTCCTGGCTGCTCCCTGTAGCCCAGCAGCCAGAGCACCTCCATCCCTATGGAGGATGCCAGGTTCAGTGAATGATGTGTCCTGTGCCAACTTTGAAGCCAACATATTTGCAAGGAGCCTGTGCCAACACTGCTTCCGTGCCTCAAGGGTTCACCCACATGCTGCCCAGGTGAGCTCCTCCATCCCACCTGCAGGCCATGAATGCTGCATCAAGAGCTGCTTTGTTCAGCCCTAGGACTTTGGAGAGATGGAAATCCCTAGCACAAGGGCTTGCGGTGTCCATCATTTAACTGTGCTTGGAGCAGAGCTGGAGCCACATTGGCAGGGAGGGTCTGGACACAGGAGAGGCTCTGTAGATCCTGGGAAGGGAAGGAGGGATGAAGCAATGCAGATACATGCAAGTAAATAGCAACGGTGAGGGAAGGGGGAATGGCAAAGTAGGAACCCACCCTGGATTTCATCTCTGTTTGAGGCCTGTTGGTCCCTTCCAACTCAAACCATTCTATGATTCTTACCTAAAACGTGGTCCTGGCAGATCTCCCTGAGGCTGCAGTGAGCTGTTCCTGGAAGGAAAGGTGGAAGGGGATACATCTCATGTGATGCAGGGCTCAGTCTGACCCCATCCTCCAGTGTGAGCCACTCAGCTGCAGAGCGCTGCATCCCTCCAGGCATCAGCCGGTTTCATGTTCACAGAGGGTTTCGTGTCATTCGCTGTCCTCTTGGAGCACCAGGCCGGGGATCATGAAATAGTAATGAGCCTCCCGCCTTCCTCCTTGCCCTCTCCCCCTGGCCCCCGGGCCCTCTAAGATTACTGCAGCCCTTTGCGATCTGCTTAGAGCCATCTCTGAGCGTATCCAGATGCCAGAGGGAGGGCAGGCAAGCCCCCTACCACTGCTCCTAAACCCTGCAGGTAATGGGCCTGGGGGAGATGCTGGAGGGCGGCTGCAAGCAGAGATTCCCCCAGTCCTCATCCTCATGTGCTTTCATATCCGGCACGGTGATGGCACGGCTGCATCCCCCCCTTCCTCGCAGGAGCATGACGCAGAGGTGGCGGGGCAAGGCACCAACGCAGACCCAGGTGGGCCCTGGGATGCCGTCCGCATCGTAGCACCGCAGTGCGAGGTGTACGTCTGCGTGGGTCGGGCAGACGGCGCGGAGCGGTGAGTGGCAGAGACGGATGGAAGGGGAAGATGGGGAAAATCGGGTGCGATATCACCCATGCATTGAGGGATATGTTTAGTAGGCGTGGTGGTGATGGGTTGATGGTTGGACTGGGTGACCTTAGCGGTCTTTTCCAACCTTGATGATTCTATATTCGGCCTGGGAAAAAGGGCTGAGCGCTTTCTCTGCCTGTGTTTCTCGTGACTGCTCCCTGTCCTCAGGCTCAGCCATGCTGACCGCTGCCTGTCCTCTCCTTGCTCCACAGCTGGCACCAAAGCAGGGCACAGCCCCCACTCAGCCCCAGCACTGTGGGCCAGCATGGAGAAACCAGCACCGAGCCCCACAGCCACACTGAAGGCAGGGTGAGATGGGCACTTCTCTTGGTTTGGGTGGTTCCAGCCCCCTCGTCCCCTCAGAGCCACTTCTGCTGGGCATACTCAGGAGCTCCCAAAATGCTGGGGGGGCCAGCTGGGACCCTTCACTCCTCACACATGCTCTTTGCCCCCTTCCAGCCCAGTAACTTGCAGTCCCATTGCAAAGCCCTGCCTTATTTGTCTCTCAGGGCTGGGAGATGACCAGGCTATTGGATACCACTTTGGGATCAGGCAAGCGGGACACAATGAACTACAGGGGCCACAAGGATAATGCAAAGCTGCAGGTGGACAGAGCCAGGTGGGGTCAGCCCCTTCCTTCTGGATCCTGGGTGAGGACAGAGGCTCCAAGCTTTAGGAAAGAAGTCTGTGTGCCAAAAGCAGGTACATGTGGTTTGCTCTTGGTGTGCTTACCATAAAACAAGTGGCTGCTGTCTCCCTATATGCTTTGCTGTGCTCCCACACCACCACACAGTCTGGGTTTTCCCTCTGACCCCCTTTTCCTAACCCTGAAGCCCTGCTTTGCTGTGGGCAGAACAGCATTGCACACTCATTCAACAATCTTCTCTCCATCCTAGAGCGTGCTCCTGCCAGCCATAAGCCCAAGGAGGGCTGGGCGAAGCATCGCATAGAGAGTGGCTATTTCTCCTTGGAACCTCGAAAACCTGACCCTTCCTGGGCTTCCTCTGTACCACGTCCCGGCCGCAGCTCCTCTCCTGGTCCAGGCAGCAGCAGGCATTTGGCATCCTCCCCCAGGGCTGGGGAGCCACGTGGGCATCCCAGTGCTGGGGGCACAGAGGGGAAGCGTGTGCTGGAGAGGCAGGAGTACACGGTGCTGGCAGACCTGCCCAAACCCAAGCGCCTTGGCCGTGGGGATGCTGCTGACCGCTGTGGCTCCCGCACGCTCAGCCCTGGCCGAGTGGAGGTGGAGAGAATATTTGGTTGTGAGCGCAGGTAAGGAGCAGTAGAGAGCTCTGCAGTGGGTTGTTCCCACAGGTCACTTCATGGCTTGGAGAGAGCAGGGCTGGGGGGTTACAGCTCAGCTTTGAAGCTCTCAGCCGTGTCCTGGGAGCTGCAGGATATGCTGTAGAGTTGGAAAAAAGGAAAGAAGCTCCCAAATCCCAGTAGGATTAGGGATGTCGAGAAGTCCCCAGTCCCAGGTGAGTTTTCAGCTGGAGAAGCACAAATGGCTCCAAAATTGGCAGCCCAATGGTGGCATGGGGCATACAAAGGTGTAACAGGGACCGGGCAGTGGATGAGACAGGAAGGAACAAAGTGCAGAGGACCCAAAGAAATGGCATGAAGAAGATGCGGATGAGGAAGCTTGGATGGTTACGCCAATAGGGTGGAGACCCCAACATCTGGGGCAGGCAGAGAGGTAGGCCTAGAGCGGGGCTCAGTCAGCAGTCAGACAGGCTGTGTGTGCCTGCAGGAAATCTGAGACGTTGGAGGCTTTCCAGGCACTGGAGGAGGGCCGTGTGGAGCGGCTGGATGGCAAGACCCCAGTGCCACCAAGCAAAGGCAGAGTCATTCGGAGGCAGTCCAGCCCCAGCCTGCCCAGGGAGGTGAGTCCTGGCTGCTTTCTCCTGCCTATTCCTGGGTACAAGAGGCTTCTCCTGGATAGAAGCTGACTCTGTGCATAGGGGGTGCAGGTTCTGCAACACCTTTTGTAACCCAACCAACCTGTCTCCCAGCTCTCATGCCACCTTACCTCCCTCCTTGCTATCACTTGTGTTCCCTTTGCTCTCTGTCCTGTGTGTCCCCAGGGTCAGCGGCTCTCCTGGCACCCTGAGCCACGCAGCAGAGATTCCAAGGAGCCCCGGCGCTCCCCCAGCCCGGCTCGGCAAACAGAGAGGGCTGGGGTCCCCCTGCGCCCCATGTGCCCATCTCCACGGGTGGAGAGAGACTGGAGGAAGCCCCAGGAGCCCACAAGTCCTACTCAGCGGCTGGAGAGGGGAGGCAGCAGCCCGCGCTCCCCCAGCCCACGCTGCCCCAGCCCACGCTCCCCCAGCCCAGCTCCTAGGTTGGAACGGAGGCCAGGAGGAGCTCAGAGCCCTCCCCAGCACACAGAGAAGGACTGGAGGAACAGAGGAGAGAGGAGCCAAGTTACCTGGCAGGTTGCAAGCATGGGGAAAGCCGCTGAGAGAAAAAGCTGGGGGAACACCCTGCACCCCCCGAGCCTTGGGAAGAGCATGGATGGAGGCAAGCCGGGAGGAGCCTGGCCACCACGCTCCATGAGTCCTACAGGACGGACAGACAGCACATGGAAAAGCCAAAAGGAGATCTCTCAGCCTGGCCTTGCACGGGGGGCAGAGAGACAACGGGGGAACCCGTCCGGGAAGCAGCTGGAGTGCAGCTGGAGGAGCCTCCGGGATAAACTGCAGCCTCCCCATGCTGGGAAGTGCACAGACAATGAGTGGAAAGGCCGAGGGAAGCCCTTGCGTCCCATGAGCCCAACACGGCCACCAGAGCAGGAATGGAAGGGCCGTGGGGATGCCCGCCAGGCTCAGAAGGCAGAGAAAGACTGGAGGGCACAGGAGAAACCACCGTGCCACATGGACTTGATGCAGCAGCTGGAAAGGGACTGGAGGAGCCCCACTAGGTATGCAGATGCCTGGCCACGGCCAGATGACAGCTGGAGGAGGCCTGAGAGCCCAGCACAGAAACTGGAGGATGATTGGAAGGGGGCTGAGCACAGCCACGACTCAAACAACCCAGAGAAACCATTGGAAAGCGATTGGGAGAACAAGAAATTCCTTGTATATCACGTGAGTATAGAATCACTGCAACTACTGCTCACTAATCGTGTCCCTCCGTGCCACATCCACACGGTTCTGGAACACCTCCAGGGATGGTGACTGCAACACCTCCATGGGCAGCCTGTGCCAAACTGCAGCACTGCCTCATATCCAACCTGAACCTCCCCTGGGGCAACTTGAAGCCATTCCCTTTCACCCTCTCGCTGTTAGCTGGGAGAACAGGCCAAACCCCACCTCACCACAACCTCCCTTCAGGTTGTTGTAAAGATAGACAAGGTCTCCCCTGAGCTCCTCTTCTCCAGACTGAACAACCCCAGTTCCCTCAGCTGCTCCCCATCAGATTTGTGCTCCAGACCCCTCACAGCTCCGCTGCCCTTCTTGGACACACTTCAGGGCCTCCGTGTCTTTCTGGTAGTGAAAGGAGTAGGTCGGTCGGGGGGTGAAAATGGAAACAGCAGGGACCTGGCTGCCAGGTGTGGAACCAGCACACCCTTTTTCCTGAGGTCTGAGGAACAGTGTTTCTGCTCCAATATCGGGAGACAGGGGAGGAGATGGACACAGAGACTCGGGCTCAGCTCTCCCTTTCTCTCCCCGCAGTCGCAGCTGGGTGGGAGCTCCAGCGCACCGCAGAGCTCCTCGGGAAGCCGGCTTCCACACGGGAGCACCAGCGACAAACGCACTAAGGTACGGCCCGGGGCTCCACGCCCGCCCCGCCGGCTCCATTGGCTGCGGGAAAGGGGCGGCCGGGCCGGAGGCCACCCGCAGCCATTGGGCCGGGCCGGGCCCTCCCAGGAAGTTTGGGGTGGGAAGGGGAGGAAAGGGAAAAAAAAAAAAAAAAAAAAACCTCGGCAAAGCTCGGGGCGGGCGGCGGAGCGAGCGGGCATGGTGGGGCTGCGGGAGCCGCCCGGCCGCTGAAGCCGCCCCGCCGCCCTGGCTGCCCGCAGCCGGCCCCGCCGCGCCCCCGCCATGACGGTGAGTCCGGAACGGGGCCCCGCGGCGCTCTGCTCCCCCCCCTCTCCCCGGGCTGTCCCCGCTCCGGGGGGATCTCCCGCTGGGGTGCGGGACCGGGGTGGTGCCGGGGCTGCCTGTCCTCCCGGTCGGCGGTGGGGTGCGGTGGAGGTGACGGGCCTGGCCTCGGATTTTCCGTGCGGCGGGGCGGTGAGGGGTTCGGCGTTGTGCTTTCGGTTGTGCTTTGGCGCCTTTCATAGCCGAGCCAGGTCTCTTAGGGGGAAGAAGGGGGCTTTGGGGGCGGCCGGGAACCCCTTTGCGATGGAGGGAAGGTGGCCCGGGGTGAGGTGACCCTGAACAGGTGACCTCCAGAGATCCCTTCCACCGCCGCTGTCCCGTGAAGTGTTGCTTTGTAGCCCGGACAGCTGTGGGAACCACGGCCTGCAGCTCTCGCTCTGTCACCTTCTGTCCTACGTTTCTTCCCCCTGCCCTCTCTGTACCACCCAGGAGTCATTCTTCCACTCCCACCCTATCTCCTTTCCTTCTTTGGTGTTTACATTCTTAAGATACTTGCAGGCTGTTATCGCGGCCCTTGTATCCCCTTGGCAGCCCGAACATGCAGCCAGCTCCCTGCACCAGCCATCGCCCCTGCTCAGTGCTGGATCCCCCCGGTGCCTCCTCTTGCATCCTCACATCTTCGTTGTTTGGAGCCAGCCCCGGATCTCCGGATGGCTCTGCTTTCCTGCCTGCTTCCTCCTCCTGCCCTGGCCTTTTCCTCTGACGGGGGATTCAGCTCAAACCTCGCTCTGTTCTCTGCCCGTATCCCAAGTGCTTCTCTCCAGAGTACAAAGCTGAAGTCAGTGGTAGAGAGGAGGGAGAAAAAAGCAGCTTTAAGCACTTTGTGGACTGGTGTCTTGTCCACCAAAAATACTGTGGACAGTGGCAGAGCTGTGCCTATGAGGATGAAGACAGGGAAAAAGGGGCTAGTTATGTCTTGCACCACCAAGGTTTGGAGGTTTTACTGGCCCCGGTGCTGTGCCCATGACAGTAATAGGACAGTGTGCCTGGCCCTCCTGCCCCACGCACGTGTATGCTGGGAGAGAAGGTCACGCCAAACGTTTCACCTCCTTTCCTTCCCTCCTGCCGCTCCCAGCCTGGAGTCAGTGCTGAAGTCACTGGATTGGAAAGGATAACGGCACAAAGGGTGGAGCTGTCGCCACGGGGAAGAAATTAATTTTCAAAGAACTTTTGCAGGGTGGTGGGGATGTCCGGGTCTAGGAGAGTGGACGAGGGGATGCACGTGGTCCCCAGTCATTCACCACCTCTGCTCTTCGTGCCTACTTTACAAAGCTGAGTGGTGGGCAGAGTTATTTGCCGGCTCGGGAGGAGCTGGAGCAGCAGAGCTGGGAGGAGGAGCAGCTCCAGCCTGCTTGGCTGAGGGCGAAGTTGGGAAGAGCATTTGCCCTGAGTCAGCTCTCCAGCACGGCACTTCTGGAAGGAGCTGAACTGGTTGGGATGCCGGACAAGTGGCGTGAGGTTAGGAGGAGGTGAAGGGGGGGGGACTTTTTAGAAGGGAGTGAGCTGGAGGAAACTCTGCTTGTTCTCCATAACCATGGCCCAAGGCTGGACAGAGGGTGGGCTCTAGAAGGAGCAAAGTCCCCAGCATCTCAGACAGGATTTGTTCTCCAGCTCTGGTTGTAATTCCAATTTGATCTCCAGCCTCAGGCAAAGCGTTGACGCGCTGTGTGTTTTCACAGCTGTTAAATTGCCTCCTGCGCCTTTGTGGTGAGGGCTGGTTCATAGCGAGCTGCTCATGGCTGTAATAAGTGAGCAGTGGGGAAGGTGCTGTGGGAGGTACCCCTAGGGCATGGATGCCCAGGTTGGGACAAAATGTGCCTGCTTCCCTGTGTCCTTCTCCAAAGCCTGGTCTGGCTTGTGGCAGAGACATGTTCCCTTCCACACAGTTTCCTCACCCCTATCTCTCTCTCCTATCTCTGAATAAATATCTCCAAGGCACCTTGTAGAAACCTCCCTACTGCATATTTTCCTTTTTTTTTTTCTTTTCTTTACTCTTTCCTTATCTCCTGTTTCCTCTTACAGGAATGATTGCTAAATGCAGTCCTCCTCCGCTACTGGGTCCTAAACTAAATCCCCACGTTTCCTCAAAGCAATGTGGGGCTCTTCTTGTTTCTTATTCTCCCTATGGGAACTCTGCTTCCCGCTCCCCTGGCATGCAGAAACCTTTTGTGTGTTCCAGCATGCACTAAGCCTCTGCTTTGTCCTTTCCTCTCCAGCCAGATCTCCTCAATTTCAAGAAGGGATGGATGTCCATCCTGGACAAGCCAGGAGAGGTAAGCCCTACCCAGAGCCTACTTCTTGCCCTAGCCCTGTTGGTCGAGTTCCTTGTGTGAGCAGTGATTTTTCCCTTCCCCTCTCGTTGTGCTTGCTCCTGCTGCAGGTAACTCATGCTTGAGAGACCCAGCATTGTATTGGGTGCACTCTGAGCTGAGAATTATTATGGGGACTTGGAAGGGACCTAGAAAAGGGGGGCAGAGCCTAGAAACAGAGAGGTCACAGGGCAGCACATCCCTCCTTGTTCCTGCACTTCCCTCAGTAACTGTCTATCCATTTCCCTCCTGTCTTTTCCCCTCCCTCCCCCTAAACCATCTGCTGGCAGTGGAAGAAACACTGGTTTGTGCTGACCGACTCAAGCCTGAGATATTACCGGGACTCAAACGCCGAGGAGGTAAGCATGGGCGGCGTCACCTCACCCCTCTGTTCTTTCCTGCCCTTGTCCTCATAGTGACAGGGAGAGGAACATGACCACTAGCACAGGCATCTCATATCTACACAAGGGAATGTGTCAAATTCTGATGAAGCTCTAGCTTGAGACTTTGTTCTGATCCATCGTTCTCCATCTGAAGAGCCCCTCGGGGCTGTCATGGTTTGAAGTGAAGAGAGAGGCTGACATGGGGGCAGCTGGGCTGCCCTGGTGCATTGCCTCTCTTCTTCTTCCCATGCTTTGGCTAGGGTGCAGGCAGGGGATTTTTAAGAGATGGACTTTGCTTACACCCTAGAGGGTGGCTGTGCTTTCAGGCTGATGACCTTGATGGTGAAATCGATCTCCGTTCCTGCACAGATGTGACAGAATTTGCGGTGCAGCGCAACTATGGCTTCCAGATACACGTAAGTGCCTGAAGTGCAGCACTGAGGAATGCTGGGTGAGATGGCTGCTCCTTCCCCGTCTGCATCCCTGACACAGAAATTTGGGCAGTGCAAACTTCATGGTGTCAGGATGGCGGGGGTAGTTGGTGGTGTGTCCAGCACTCAAAGGGTCAGAGTGCAGCCAGCTGCCCCTTTGCTGAGTGGTGACAGAGTCTGTGTCCTGTCTCCATTGCAGACGAAGGATGCCATCTTCACACTGTCAGCCATGACCTCAGGCATCCGGCGCAACTGGATTGAGGCTCTGAGGAAGAATGTGCGCCCCGTTAGTGCTCCAGATGTCACCAAGTAAGAGCTGCCTGCTGGTGGGTCTCCTGGTTGTCCCTTTCTTCAGGAGGACACCTGAAAGGTCCTGGGGAGGGGGGGAACAGGGCTGTGATGATGAGAGTGATGGGCATGGGGGAGGTGATGCTTTCTGGGGGCACAGCATCCTGGAAGGCTCCTGTCTGCCAGCAAGATATTTCATTGAGCAGAATCGTAGAATCTCTTCAATTTGGAAGAGACCACTAAGATCATATAGTCCAATTACTGACCTATCACTAGCATGTCCAGAAAACAGTTTCCCTCAGTGCTGCATCTACCTTTTTCTAGAAAACCAGCAGTTCCTCGTACTGCCCACAGAAGCCTGCCCCAAAACCCATTTTTAGCTCCATTTTTCTGCTGGAACTTGGCTGGGGCTCAGGGTGAATCCTCCCCACCCCCTGGGGAAAGCCTGTTTACCCATACATGCAGACAGAGCTGCCAAGTGATGTGATGCAACCACTCTTCTCTCACACAAGGTTTTTCACAAGGCTGAGTTGAGCAAAAGCTGAGCCTTGCGTTTAACCAGCAATGCAAGGGGGCTGTTTGTCTGTTCTTTTGCAGTACCTGTCCTTCACATGTTATTGCTGTGGTTTCAGGCTATCTGACTGCAACAAGGAAAACACAATTCGTAACTGTGTCCCACCGAAGAGCTCACTGCGAGTGGACGAGCAGCAGCAGCCAAGTTCTGAGGGAAGCATCAAAGGCAGCACTTGGAAAGCGGATGGGCCACGCCATGCCTTTGACTACGTAGAACTGTCCCCCTTGCAGCAGGATCCCCAAAATCAGGGGTCCCCACCGAGGACAAGAGGGAGCTTGAGGGTGTCAGAGCGAGTATCCAAGCATGAGGATCTAGAGCGGGATTTAGCAGTGCGTTCAGAGGAGAGGCGCAAGTGGTTTGAGAGTCCCGATAGCAGGGTCTCCAACAGTGATGGCCCAGGGGGAAACGTGTCCCGCAAGGTGGAGGAGCCAGACTTGCCTGCTGCCCCACTTTCAGAGGAGCAACGGGTTCGGCTGAACGAGGAGATAGAGAAGAAGTGGCTGGAGCTGGAGCGCTTGCCCTTGAAGGACTCACGGCGAGTGCCCTTGACAACACTGCTGAACCAGGGCAAGGGGAACCACGGAGATGCCAATGAGGCACTGAAAAAGGAGGTGAGAGCACTTTGGAAGGTGGTTTTCTGGTGGGCGTGATACCTGCAGCTTTGTGCCTCCTTGGTGGCTCTGCAGAAGAGCAAGGCCACCAGTGTTGGTGGCATCGCTTGCGTGGATCTCTGTTTCCTGGCAGTGCTTGCTGTCTCCTGTCTTGAACTGTTCCCAAGTCAACAAACACATCACCTCCCAGCCTTGGGAAAGAGGTTGAGCATCTCTCTTCTGTCCTTGGCACAGGTCCAGTCGCTGCGGGCGCAGTTGGAGTCCTGCCGGGCCCGAAACGAGAGCCTTCGGGAAGCTGCCAAGTCCCAGGGAGACGGCCATGTGCCCCGAGGGTACATCTCTCAGGTGAGCAGGATGGGTGAGCCCCAGGCTGGGAAATGCCAGAGCCTGGACTCATTGCCAAGTAGGTATCGCTAATCATTGGGTTGCCATGGTGGCCCTAAATAGGCTCGGTTGTGATCAATGTTAATTACATAAAGGCTAGCGTGTGTATTAAAGAGGCTGGAGTTGGCAGGAGGCAGTGGCATGCGCATGCTGTCAGGAATTCAGGATCTGTCATTGTTGAGGGAAGGGAATTTGGGTTCCTGGTGAGCTCCTGTTGCAATGGACTGGCTGCACCCAGCCCAAATAAAACCACAAATCACATGGAGCAGTTCACTGGTACTCTGCTATCTCAGTTTGCACTTACAGCTCACGGGTCTCCATGTGATCAAAAGAAAACAAAAAGGAGCAGGGAGAAATAGCATCTTTTCTTTCTGAGGCTGAACTTCACCTTCCCCAAAAGGTTTCATTCTCTCTCAGTTTGCCTTAGTACCATTTGAAAGAGGGGGAGAACAAGATGGTGAATTCAACGGCTTCTTAAGAATAATGTTTTGGCATGATTTGATGGCAGGCAAATCCTCCCCAAGGACCTTGGGGCATAAGTCCAAGTTGGGAATGTTTTGCTTTGCTGTAACACAACTTACCTACAGCACTGGGTGTTGAAAGGGCCAGCCACTAGAAAAAAGTATGAGCTGTGCAAGAAGATTGCTAGCAGTCAGGCTATGGGGAGGGAGGTGTCTGTAACAGCGCCCAGCCAAGGGGAAGGTGTCACTTTTCTGAAGCAGAGGCTCAGTTTCCATCGGTTCTGGGGATGCTGCTTTATTTAAAAGGCAAATAGTGGGATGCGGTTCCAGCAGTACAGCCTGGTGGAAGGGTCTTGGCATCTCTTGATGGCTGAGTTGTAATAGAAGAGGAATGTTTTTTCCTCTCCAGAGCACGCAAGGCTCACAAGATTTGTGAGCTGAATGCTTATGTTTGGTGATAAAAGTACTGGGGGGAAAAAAAACATCACAGGAAGGAGTCTCACTTGTATCCAAATGGCCCTGGACTAGGGAGGGGTTTGCAAAGTCAAGCATCATCTCAGAGAAGTGCCTGTCCTCCTGTCCACATGTCTTAGAGTCATAGAATCACAGAGTATCCTGAGTTCAAAGGGACCCACAAGGACCGTTGAATCTAACTCCTGGCTCCACATAGGACTACCCAAAATTCAAACCTTGTGTCTGAGAGCTTCCTGAACTCTGGCAGTTCAGTGCCGTGACCACTGCCCTGTCCCAGTGCCCAACCACCCTTTCAATGACGAACCTTTTCCTAACCTCAACCTGAACCTTGCCCTAGTATCCCACCTGATTGTCCCAGTGTAGCTCCGTGTTGTAATCTGTCTGCCACTTTCACATCCCTCACCCTTCCCTCCTACTGTCCTTTCCCCGGCATGGCAGGAGGCCTGTGAGCGCAGCCTGGCTGAGATGGAGTCATCACACCAGCAGGTGATGGAGGAGCTGCAGAGGCACCACCAGCGAGAAATGGAGCGGCTGCGGCAGGAGAAGGAGCGGCTCCTTGCAGAGGAGGCTGCAGCAACAGCAGCAGGTAGGAGCAGAAAGCAAGATGTGTCCCCACTTCCTTCCACCTCTCCCAAATGCCTCTGACTTCTGCCAGAAACCTGTCACCTTCCTGTCCCAAAAGTCTTGTAACTTGAGTCCTACTGCTGAGCCTGCTGTTTGGTCTTAGAAGAAGCTTGGCTTTTCTCCAGTCTGTGCTGCAAGGTCTGGTCAGGCTGGGATGCCATTTATTAATCTCTGTGGCAGCACTCGGTGCTTTGGAATAATTCTGGGAGGTGGGAGTTGCCCAGAGGGCAAAAGGGAAGGAAGAGGAAGTGCAGAGATACATCTTTGAGCCTGAAGCACCAACAGCTGGGTCAGTTGCCTGTCTGGGTTTCTCCAGATGTGCCCAAGCTGGCATAGCCACTTCTGCCGTTGCATCTCTCTGCAGCCATTGAAGCACTGAAGAAGGCCCACCGGGAGGAGATGAACAAGGAGCTGGGCAGGACACGAAGCTTTCAGCAGTGTGGCTCTGTCACAGACGCCCTCCAGAAGCAGCACCAGTAAGAAGTCTATCCTGTTTCCCTTGCTCAGTGCTTTGGGCAGAGCCTGTTGGTGGCACGGGACACCGATGGTGGCAGGGCAGCAGCAACCTTGTGCCTCTCTGGCAGGTTGGATGTAGACTCACTGAAGCGGGAGCTGCAGGTGCTGTCAGAGCAGTACTCCCAGAAGTGCCTGGAAATTGGGCAGCTAACAGAGAAGGCAGAGGAGCGGGAACAGACATTGCAGCGCTGCCAGCAAGAGGGGAAGCAGCTCCTCCGGAAGAACCAGGCAAGAGAGGGGCTTCCCTGGCTGTAGGGACCACAGAGCATCCTCATTCCATTTCGGGACTGCCCCTGTCTAAATGGGGGTGTCTCTTTAGTTGTATTCTTCCCCCCCAGTATGTTATTGGGGCCAGGACAGCGAGAGAGCCTTGTGGCTGTGCCATATCTGCCTTTTTGTCTGCAGGAGCTGCAGATCCGCCTGTCGGATGAGATTGGGAAGCTGCGAAGCTTCATCACCTCGCGGTGCTCTGGGGACCGATCTCTGCAAAACAATGAGCGCAGCTCCTGCGAGCTGGAGGTATGGGATGCTTAGGATGTCCCCAGCAGTTTGGGCTCAGTCCCCTCCACTGTGAAAGCCACACAAGGCTGCAGGGCTGTGCAGGAAGGAGGTGCGCAAGCTTCCCCTGCGTGCCTCTCCCGGGGCACCATGCATCACTTCCCGCTTCCTTCCTCCTCCACCACTGCACTTGCGCCAGGCAGAACGGCTGCTGCCCAGGCTGTGTCTCTCTGCTTCCCCCTGCCTTGAGTCACCGCCTGCTCCTCTCCCCTGAGCCAGGTGCTGCTGCGTGTGAAGGAGAATGAGCTCCAGTACCTGAAGAAGGAGGTACAGTGCCTCCGGGAGGAGCTACAGATGATGCAAAAGGTTGGTGCTTCCCAGAGTCTGCTGGCTGGGGCTGGGTATTGCAATACCTACTCACAGCAAAGTAGAGGGGCTAGGAGGCAGCACAGTGGCTGCAGGTTTCAGACAGGGTCTTTTGGGTGCTCAGGCCAAACCCTTGTGTCATGTGTGCTCTTTGTCCCTACTTTCTTGCTGAGTGACACGGCCTCATTACAGTATTCCATTACTTAAAGTGTGGCTACAAGGAGGGTGGAGCTCTGTCTTCATGAGGAGCCCCATGGAGAAGACAAGCAGCAGTGGGTGTAAGCCGTACCAGGAGAAGTTTCATCTTGATATGTATATATTGTTTTGTTTTGTTTTGTTTTAACACTGAGAACAGTGATTCATTGGAGCAACCTCCTGAAGGACATGGTGGTATCCCCATCACTGGAGGTTTCCAAGAGGCAGTTGTACAAGGTTCTCAATAAGCTCACCTAGGCTCCCTTATCCCACAAAATGTCGAATCAGCTGATCTTTCAAGGTCCCTTCAGACCTGGGCTGTTGTATGCTTCTGTGAAATCATTGCCCAGTTTGGGCTGAGGTTCAGGCTTTGGGCTGTGTCCTCCCTTACCCGCTGGCCTTTCTCCCACTGGCCTCACCTTGACACTTGAATACCAGCTTGAGAGTTGCTAACTCTTCTCCCTCCCTGGCAGGACAAGAGATTTGCCTCAGGGAAATACCAGGACGTCTATGCAGAGCTGAATCATATTAAGGTGCGCTCAGAGCGAGAGATTGAGCAGCTGAAGGAGCATCTGCGCCTGGCCATGGCAGCCCTGCAGGAGAAGGAATCACTGTGCAACAGCATCAGCAATTAACGGTGAGCACTGAGGGGCTGTTATGTTCCCTCCAGGATTGGGGGCTGAGATCCGCTTACTTTTGACAGAGGAATAGAGACAAGGCAGCTTCCTCCTGCTCCATTTGGTGGTCAGTGTGGCTATGGCTTGATCCAGCCATCTTCCTCCAGGCACTTGCAGAGGCAAGCATAGGGATGGGGCAGTGTGAAGCCATCATGCATGTTCTGGTGTCCAGAGCAAGCATTCTACTTGCTTGAACACTGTAGCCATCAGGCTTGGGGTCACGCTGCTCTGCCAACACTTGCGGGTGGGCACTGACCAGTTTTGAGGTGCGTGGGATCAGAGCAGGCATGCCAAGCATGTCAGAAGCTCCTAGAGTGGAGGCAGAAAGGACAGCATTTCTGTGCTGAGTGCGATCTTTCCAAACCTGTTTTATTTTTTTCCTTCTCTTCCTAGGTCGACATCATTTATCTGTTCATGTTTTTTATTTGCTCCGTTCCTCACTTAAGGAGAGAGGGAGGTTGGATCCCATCCATTGTCGCCTTGGCGAGACACCTCTCTCCTCAGCCAGCTCCTCACTCCCTTCCCAAAGCTTTTGATGAAGCCTTTCCAAAACCTTTTTACCTTCATATCTGAGCACGTTATTTGGAATGGCTCCTTACATGCACCTTCTTCAGGATTTTATACGTGAAAATTATATTTTATAGAAGAATTTTGTTTTCCCTTGAGAATAAGAGGAAAAGGAGAGGGAAAGCTTCTACATCACCAGCATTTTCTAACCAGAGAAAGAGAATATACTCCCCACTTCCTCAGCCCCCCCCTGCTCCCAGCCACGTATCTGCCTTTGGCACTCCTGTTCCCTTTCTTCCACCTGTCTCTGGGGCCCCATGGGGACATATGGGGACACATACCAACACCACTGCCCCAGCACCCAGTGGAGGAGACACCCAAGCCATAGGAGGAGGCCGCCTGCCGCAGCTGCACCCACCTGCAACTTTGAAAGAGGAGACCTTGGCACGAGACTGCATGATGGAGCTCTCAGTGACTGTCCTTCAGCTCTGCCTTGGCACAGCCTCAGCTCCTGGAGCCTCCCTACTCACCCTCCCTTGGGCTGGGGAGAGCCCAGCATTTTAGTGGCAGAGGAGCTGCTGTTCTGCCACACCCTTCAACTCTTAACTTAATAAAATCTTCCCCTTTTGCTGAGAAAAATGTGTTTGCTGAGGGCAAGTCTTGCTACAAGACTGAGAGCAATTTCTGCAGCTTCCTGCCTAATTTTGAAGCTGGCAGCTCTTTTGTGACCACCAGGAGCAAGGGGGGAGATTTGGGGGAAGATGAAAGGAACGGCAAACGTTTTCCCCCCCCCCTCCTGTTTTGGGGTAAAAAAACACGCTTTGCTCTTTCTAAGGGACACTTAAGGGAAAGCACTCAGAAAAGGCTTCTGGCTCCTTTCCCTGGGCAAAGCCAGCACAAAATCCAGTAAATCCAGTTGCAGGCTTGCATCATGCCTGAACCACCACCTTGAAGACGGGATGAGCCTTGGGCGTGCCATCAGCCAGAGATGGAACTGTAAAGCTCCCAGGCTGGGGGTGGCAGCCTTGAAGTTGAGGAGTTGTGGGGATCATGGTTGCAGGGAAAATGTGAAGTTTAGGGCATGGTGTTGTACGCGTGTTTTTTAGGGGAAAAAGAAAACACGCTTTTGCATCGCCAGTGGCTTAATTAAGGTTGTGGGGTTACAACTATCACTGGGGGTTGCAACCCCTGGAGTGGCCAGCCAGCCCCTTCCTCAGGTATTCCCTGTATTTGTTTGGGTTTGGTGTTTTTTGTTTTTTCCTGACCAGGGTCTGCTGTTCCCGATAAAGGCTTTGCACCAGCATGCTGAACCTTGTGGCTGCTGCCAATCAGCCCCTTCCCCAGTGCCACATGTGACGGGGTGATACTGGCACCACAGCTGCCCCATAGTGATATCGCCTGGCCCCAGGGCCATGGGTGTGAGAGGAGGCAGCCAAAATGTCTGCCTATTTTGAGCCTCTTCGGGAAGTAAAAGCGGGTTAGATGAAATTTTGCCATGATGAATTTGCTGGCTTTCCATGATGGGCTGCAGCACATCCACAGCGTGTGTGCTTTGACCATTTAAGATGAAGTCCTGAGGTGGACGTGCAGGAATCCCAAAGGTTTTGTTGGGATGATGTGTGGGGAGAGAGGAGGAGGAGGAGAATGAAGTCATTGAGATTAGTGGGAGATTGCTGTGCCAGGCTCCTTCCTCTGATGTTTGTTGCATGGAGATGTTTCCCAATCTCCAAAGTTTATTTAATGCCAGAAACATGCAGCATCAATGTCTGCAGCATTTCCATCACACCTCCAGCCCAGAGCCCCTCTTGCATTTTAGGGATACATCAGTGCAAGATGACAGGGATGCTCTGCACCACCAAGGATGACACAAGGACATTGGTCAGGATTCACGCATGGGGGACAATATTTTAGCTTGCTAAAATTTAGAGACCAGGTCTGGATGAAGGGGTCCCCCAAGTACCGGGGAGAGGCTGCAGGAGGTGCCCAGGTGATGCGCTCCGATAAGACACTCAATTTTCAGCTGTCTCTAGCAAGGTGAAGCCTGGGCACTGCACTGCCCTGATAAACATTGCCACTATTTTTTGGAGGCTCTGCAGTGAGCTGGCGGGGAAGGAGCAGAGTTTGGAGATGCTCTTTGCCCCCCCCCTTCTGTTTTCCCTCTTGGGCGGGTGAGCCCGCGCGCTGCTGGCGGTTAAAAGCTTGGATGCAAGTAAAACCAGATGGAATCTTATCTGCCTGCACCCAAGTGCCTACGTGCAGACAGCCAGCAACGGCACTGCATTTCCCGCGCAGCAAATTCAGGGCCTTTCACCCGGTCAAGGTGTCATGCAGAGGCCATGGTTCCCTACGGCATCCCTTTCTCCTTTCCTCATGTCTCCGTGGTGGCACAAAAGCATCTGCTGATATTGGTGTTGCAGAGGATGTGCTAAGATTAGAAACTGCCTTGTTTCACCCCCTGTGCCACATATCCATGGGGGCACACAAATGTTTTTTAAGACAGGAGGAGGAAAATGTGATGTAAATGCTCCAGGAAGACAATGGTCACAGCCACGTTTAATCTCCCGGGGACAGCTGGGTGCTTACTCAGCTGGGAGGCAGTGGCTGATGAGAGTTCTGCATGTCCCAAAGCCTCTGGTGGGGAGCAAATGGTACAGAGCGGGAGTGGAGACAGACTTATTGGACCATGGGGTACAGCTGTCAAACCTATTTTTGAGCCTTTTTGCAGGAAAAAAAGTGCACCACCACCCCTCCCATAGATCACCACCCTGGTAGGCGGGAGCCACCACAAATACCAGGGTGACACCATAGTGCTCAGGGCAGACAGAAGGGTGAGACCCCCAGTGTCTCTCCAGTGTCCCCCCCCCCTATTATCCCCTACATTCCTCCCCATATCCTCCTTCTCTCCATCCAGTGTTCCCTAACACACTTCTCCGTGTCCTTGTCATGTCCGCCTGCTCCTTCTCTGTCCCCAACATGAGCTCCTCCTTGCCCTGCACGTTACCTCCTTGTCTCCTGATCTCCCTCCCAGCACTTGTTCTTGTCCTATCCAGTGTTAGTCCAAAGTACTCCTTTTCCCAATCACATCTCTCTCTGTCCCCTGCTGTTCAATGCAGTGTCCACCCTTGTCCCCACCATGTCCCTCCTTGTCTTCTGGTGTCCACCCCTGTCCTCATCATGTCCCACCTTATCCCCTGGTGTCCAGCCTCAGTGCCATTCCCACGGTGTCTCACACTATCCCCACCATATCCCTCTCCATCTCTTAATGTCCAGCCCCAGCGCCCACCTCTTTCCCCATCACATCCCTTCTTGTCTCAACCTCGTCCCTCTCTGCCTGCCCCAGTCATGTCACTGTGGGGCGGGGCAGAGGGTACCCGGGGACATGCAGTCCTCCCCACGGTCCGTGCCGCACCCTTAAATGTGCGGTGCTGGCATGCGCGGCCACAGACGCAGCGGCGGCGGCGGCAGCAGCGGGAGCAACCCCACATCCGTTGTTTCCAGCGGCTCCTTTTTTAGCTCCCTAACCCCGCTGTGGGGTGAAGCGCCAGCCATGACGGAGAGCCTGGTCCTATCCCCAGCCCCAGCCAAACCCAAGCGGGCGAAGGCGTCGCGGCGCTCGGCATCGCACCCCACCTACTCGGAGATGATCACGGCGGCCATCCGTGCGGAAAAGAGCCGCGGCGGCTCCTCGCGGCAGTCCATCCAGAAGTACGTGAAGAGCCACTACAAGGTGGGCCAGAACGCCGACCTGCAGATCAAGCTCTCCATCCGGCGTCTCCTGGCTGCCGGCGTCCTCAAGCAGACCAAAGGGGTCGGGGCCTCCGGCTCCTTCCGCTTGGCCAAGAGCCACAAGGCCAAGAGTTCCCCAAGGAAGAAGAAGAAGGCTGTCAGGAGGTCCACGTCTCCCAAGAAGGCGGCGAGGCCCAGGAAGGCCAGGTCACCATCCAAGAAGACCAAAGCCACCGCCAGGAAGGCCAGGAAGAAGTCGCGGACCAGCCCCAAGAAGGCCAAGAAGCCAAAGACTGTTAAGGCCAAGTCGAGGAAGACCTCCAAGACCATGAAGGTGAAGCGGTCGAAACCCAGAGCCAAGTCTGGTGCCCGGAAATCGCCCAAGAAGAAGTGAGCAGCCTGAGGGCTTTGCCCAGGCTCTCCCCGTTGGCTTCTGTAAATAGCTTTTTGCCTTTATTTTTACCTCTTTCTGTTTGCAAATTTTATAAGTTGATCTATTCCTAACAGCTAAAACAAGGCGACGAATGAAAGAAAAAAAAGGAAAAAAAAAAAAAAAAAGGAACTTCTTCCATATGGAAGAGTTTCCATTTATAAAAGCTGCTTCTCTTGAGTGTTTATTTCATCTTGCCGTGGGTCTGGATGGCTGTGGTGGGCGGGTGGAGGACCTGGGGGGAGGTAGGAGGGCTGTGAGAGCCAGGAGGAGGAGAGGGGACTCCTCCTTGTCCCCTGGAGCGAGGCACAGCCTGCCAGCCCAGCACGTGAGGGCTGGAGATAACAGTGCGGCCGGGCGGTGGTGCGGGCCATTGGGGTGGGGTTGAAAGCTGCTGCCACCAAGGACTTGGCACAGCCCCAAGGCCGCATAGGCACCGCAACGTCCCAACCCACAAGGCTGGCTGAGAGCCCACGGGATGGGACAGCCCTACTGCTCTGCTCCGAGTCCTTGGACATCACCCCTAGGTATGCTGTGCCTAAATTCTCGGGGCCCAGGGTCTTCACCTTCCTGGCTCTGCCTTCCATTCCATTGGTCTGATGTTCCTAAATGACTCAGGTAGATGCTGCCCAAATCTCTGAGGCACAGGGGATCTCAGTGCAGTACCCTGTAGTTCAGGGTAGTGAAATGCTTGGCCTCGAGGAATGTAATCCCTTTAGGTTCTTATTCCTAAGGTCCTAGGACCAAAGGCTCTCAGACTTAAGCTGAAGAGCCCAAGCCCCTCTCAAGAGCCAGGTGCTTGTCTTTCTGAACATCAGGGTCCTAAAACATTCTGCCCATAGGACCTCCAGCCAGCTACAGTGGAGTGTAGAGGAGCCCAATCCAGTTGGGATCCTGGTGTCTAAACCCATTGGGTCACAAATCCCTTTGACCAAAAGACACTAGGATTCCTCAAACTTGGATATATCTGGCAGGTCCTAAACCTCTCAGACTAAAGGTTTCACAGTCATCTCAAGTGGTTACACACAAACCCGTTGGGCTAAATCCTACAGGCTGTATCATTTCATTGACCCTTGTGCCGAGCACCCCTGAACCTCTTGGATGCAAGGAGCCATGTCACCAGGGATGAGGACACCAATTCACTCAGATGGGAACACTCTTCGGCTTCTTGAGCCTCAGTCCATTATGTCCCTTTGTTCCAAAATCCCTTTGGCTCTGGCACATAATTCCCTGGGCTGCTTGTTCCTAAATCCCTTCAGTTCCTAAAGCTTCTTCACCCAAATTTGGACTTGTGGATTCCAGCTCACCCTCGGGCCAGAGCCTCCCTCCATTTCATTCAAAGACCTCAACACCTCCCAAAGGAGGTTCCCCAGCCCTTTCAGCCAGACATCCAAAATTTCCTCTTCTCTAGAATCCAAACCCCAAAGCTAAGAAGAAACACCTCCCAAAGATGCCAGGTGTCCCCCGGCAGGCTTCAGCACAGAGCCGCTCGGCTGGGTCCTAGCGCCGCACGGCCAAGTCCTAGTGCAGCGCCGCAAGGTCCTAGGGCCCACCTCAGGAGCGTTGCCCCTTTAAGGGAGGAGCTGCGCGGATGGGCGTGGCCGCAGCGCGCCTTCTCATTGGCCGGCGGGTCACCGCCCCTTGGCGCGGCGTGGCGCGGTGCAGCGATGTGGCGCGGAGCTGCGGTGCGTGCGGTGCGGGGTACCGGGAGTTCGCGGGCCGCTTCGGGGGCGGCGGCGGCGCAGCTCCGGCGATGGCTGGAGGGAGAGCTAGAGGGGATCCGCGGTGCCGGCACCTGGAAGAGCGAGAGAATCATCGCCTCCCGCCAGGGCCCGCATCTCCGGCTTGCGGGTGGTGGAGCCGGTGCGTGCGGGACGGAGGGGGAGAAGCTTGGGGCGTATGCCTGGTTCGATCCCTGTGTCTCGGTGTCTGTGTCTGCCCGCAGGGATCCTCAACTTCTGCGCCAACAACTACCTGGGGCTCTCCAGCCACCCGCAGGTGATCCGTGCTGCCGTGCAGGCCCTGGAGGAGTTCGGTGCTGGGCTCAGCTCTGTTCGCTTCATCTGTGGCACGCAGGTACTGGGCACCTCTTGGCTTTAAAGCCGCTTGCCGTGCTTTTAAGGCCATGTTTCTGAGCACAATTAACCTCTCCCACACACACCTTTCCTGGATAATAGGTGGCTATTTTCTGCTGTCAGCAGCAGGCAAGCAGAAACTTGCTCAACCCGAGCAGCGATGCTTGCTTTGGTTACTTCTGTCCTCTCTTTAGAGCATACACAAGGACCTGGAGGAGAAAATCGCACGCTTCCACCAGCGGGAGGATGCCATTCTCTATGCCAGCTGCTTTGATGCCAACGCTGGCATCTTTGAGGTTCGGAGAGCTTCAATTATGCTGCACCAGGAGGAGGGGAGTGCATAGCTGATGAAACGGCCCTCAGTAAACCATAGGGAAAGATGGGGAGGGAAGTGGAAAATTTTGCAGAGGCAGCTGTAGTCAAAGGCAGCTTTGTCCTTTGCACTGGCAAAGGCTGTCAGGTTTTGGATGAAGGGACACCCTGGAGTTCATAGAATCATACAGTAGGTGGATTGGAAGGGTCCTTAAAGGCTCTCCAGTTGCAACCTCCTGCCACATGCAGGGCTGCCCACCAGCTCAGGCTGCCCAGGGCCCCATCCAACCTGACTTTGAATGCCTCCATGGATGGGGCACCACTGTTCTGGGCAGCTGTGCTTGTTTCTCTTCACCCTCAAAGCTGATTTGATCTGTTTGGCACGGGCAGGCTCTGCTGACTCCAGAGGATGCGGTGCTGTCAGATGAGCTGAACCATGCCTCCATCATCGATGGGATCCGCCTCTGTAAGGCCAACAAGTACCGTTACAAGCATATGGACATGCATGACTTGGAGGCCAAGCTGCAGGACGCACAGGTACCAGCGCTGTTCTCCATCCTATGGTGCATTTGGGCAGCCCTGAAAGATCTCAACCCTTTCCCATCCCATTGAATCATAGGATCATCAAGGTTGGAAAAGACCTCTAAGATCATCTAGTCCAAATATCAGCCTATCCCCAGCATGCCCACTAGCCATATCCTTCAGTGCCACATCCACAGTGTTCTGGAACACCTCCAGGGATGGTGACTGCACCACCTCCCTGGGCAGCCTGTGCCACTGCAGCGCCGCTCCTTCTGAGAAGAAATTTTTGCTAATATTCAGCCTGAACCTCCCCTGTCACAACTTGAGGCTGTTACATCTCATCTTATCGCTGTTACCTGCGAGAAGAGACCAAACCTCCCACTTCTCTACAACCTCCTTTCAGGTCATTGTAGAGAACGAGAGAGTCATAGAGTTGTTGCTGCGCTCTTTTCTGTGATCAGGCAATGTGGGAAAGCAGCTGGCTTCTGCAACTGACATCTTGTTTGCAACTGCATCTTGGTTCGTTGTACCCACACTGTACATACAGCAGGTGGGGCTAGGGCTGTGTCTCAGCCTCCTTCACCAGTCCCAAGGTGACGTCCTTATAGCATGTGGTTCTCTCCCACAGAAACACCGCCTACGGCTGGTGGCCACCGACGGTGCCTTCTCCATGGATGGTGACATCGCGCCCCTGCGGGAGATCTGCCAGCTGGCCCAGAAGTATGATGCCTTAGTCTTCATTGATGAGTGCCATGCCACGGGCTTCCTGGGTCCCAACGGCCGGTAAGGAGCTGCTTCACCCTTCACTGCTATTAGAGATTCCCTCGGGTCTTGGGGGTTTTCTGTCATCACCTGGCACAGTTGTGTGTGCAATGTCTAGAGGGATTGAGAAGGGCTATTAAGTGCTTCACATGAGTTATAACCTTGTGTTGTTGATGCTGTTGACAAGAGAGCCAGTAGGGAGACAGAATGCCATACTCTGACCTGTCTTTTTGGGGTAGAGAATGCAAAGCAGGAGAGCATATTGGACACATCCTGTTGGTTCCACCAGCGTAGACCTTGATGTGGACACTGTGAAGCTGTGTGCATGTAGGGTAGTGCATTGGTGACGTGCAGAGCCAACCTCAAATACTGTTGGCTGCACTAACTGAAGCTGTTTCTCCTGGTATATTCAAGATACGGCACATCAGAGGCGTGTGCAAGTCCTACATTCAAGAATCACACTAGAGAGAGTGCACTATTGAGACTGTTCATAGAATCAGTAAGGTTGGAAATGATCACTAGGATCATCAACCATCAGTCCATCCCCACCGTGCCTAGTAACCATGTCCCTCAGTGTCACATCCACACGGTTCTGGAGCACCTCCAGGGATGGTGACCCTGCCACCTTCCTGGGGGAGCCTATGCCATTGCAGCACCACTTTTTCAGAGAAGAAATTTTTCCTAAAATCCAACCTGAACCTCCCCTAACACAACTTGAGGCCATTACCTCTCATCCTAAAAATTTGTGGGAACTTTGTGCACTCTTCCCCCTGGAAGAGATGATGAACCCCATCCTGGGTCTTAGCCTCTCTGCAGGTGAGAGGAAAGGCAATGCTTGGGCTGAAAGAGCGCAGTGAAGTGTTTCTCTTTTACCAGAAGGGGGATGCCAGATACCTGGCTTCCTCTTGAGGAAAAAAGCAGCATCACAGGTGCATACTGGCATGGTTGATGATGTGACATTCCCTTTTCTGCAGGGGTACCGATGAGCTCCTGGGAGTGATGGACAAGGTCACCATCATCAACTCTACCCTGGGAAAAGCTCTTGGAGGAGCTGCAGGTGAAGTCATTTCCATGTCTGAGGCCCTCCATGCCCTAAAGAATTCCAGTTTATGCTCTCCTTTTCCTACTCATGGCATCAGGCTCAGTCTAGGACTCTGCCACATGGCCAACAGAGGTCCTGCTGAGTTGCTCTTGAAGTCAAGGTGGACACTCTTAGTAAAAGACATCGGCTGTGATTTTTTTTTAGGCCTGATCCGTGATAAAATTTCTTCTGTAGGGAACAAGTTGCTCACTCTGAACAGGTCACCCTGGGGCTGCCTTACCCATTTCCCTTTCCTCCCTCTGCAGGCGGGTACACAACAGGCCCCAAACCCCTCATCGATTTGCTTCGCCAGCGCTCCCGCCCCTACCTCTTCTCCAACAGCCTGCCCCCCGCTGTGGTGGGCTGTGCCTCCAAGGCCCTGGACCTGCTCATGGAGAGCAATGCCATCGCACAATCCATGGCTGCCAAGACTCAACGGTGAGGGGCCACGCTTCTGCTCACCTCCTCCTTGTGTGCCCGTGTGCGTGTCAGAGGGGAGATTTAGAATCACACCCGGCCCTCAGTGGCCTGGGTTTTACTCATCCCCTCATTTCACTCACCAGGTTCAGGAGCAAGATGACGGCAGCTGGCTTCACCATCTCAGGAAAGGACCACCCTATTTGCCCTGTCATGCTGGGGGATGCCCGGCTGGCTGCAGTGATGGCTGAGGACATGCTGAGCAGAGGTGAGTGAGGCAGGGAGCCATGCGCGATGGCATGTAACACTGGAACAGGGAGCCAGAAGCCTTTCTGTCACCCATTGTCACCTCAGTTTTCCCTCCTGGCCAGCTCCAGCTCTCCATGCTTTTCCTCTCCAGGCATTTACGTCATTGGCTTCAGCTATCCTGTGGTTCCCAAGGGCAAAGCCCGCATCCGGGTCCAAATCTCAGCTGTGCATAGTGATGAGGACATCGACCGCTGCGTGGAAGCCTTCATCGAGGTGGGACAGAAACATGGAGCACTGCCTTGAGGGGCTGCCAGACTCATCCCCTAGTGCCCTTCTGCCCACCTCCGAGACAAGTGCCTATGCCTGGGAGGCCTGAGTGGCACGCTGCTCAACATAGGACCCTGAGGCACTGCAACCTGCGGGAGGCTCTGGCTGTTGCACTGTGCTGGCAGCATCACCTGTAGCATTAAAGACTTCCTGCAGTGCAGTGAGTAGTTGTATGGCTCTTGCATTCTCATCCAGGAGTTACTTTCACTTTCTGTTCTCTTGTTCTATTAGGTGTCTGCTATGTAGCCTCAGTCAGGGCACTGAAATGCTCCTCTCCCCTTCTGCAGGTTGAAATGTGATGCTGCTGGTCTGCCTGAGGTTATCTGGTTCCTCAGTGCCCATCCTGCAGGTCCCAAAATGCGACCCCACAGTAATTCCCCACCAGGAGTGTGCAGGAGAATTTCTAAGGTTATGCATCAGCCTTTGGCTACCCATGCCACCAGCAGCCAATTTGGGAGAGAGCAAAGACTTGCTTGCTCGGTGCTCTGGCATAGCCCTTATGCTTTGCCCACTGCCCTCACCACAGAATCATTTGAATTGGAAGGACCCTTAAAAGCCATCTGGTTCAACTCCCCTGCAATGAACAGGGCCATTTACAGCTAGGTGAGGGTGCTCAGAGCCCCTCCAGCCTGACCATGGGGTTCTTACCCTGGGATCTGGTTCTTACATGCCATAGCCCAGCAGCTGGCCATGAGGGTTTAAATTTGAGGCCAGAAACAGAGCAGGTGACAGAAACCTGTAATTCCCCTCCATTGTGCACAATTTTCATGCAGCAGAGAACACACAGACAGCTGACAGCTCTGGATTTGTTTCTCCAAGTTGTGCTGGAGTGGTGGTGATTTAGTGCTCATGCAGGCACGCATGGCTCCTGGGCATCTTAGCATGGCTTTATTTGAATCAAAATGTGTGTTCTTCTATCTGTCCCCATGCTGATCTGAGTGTGATGCAGGGTGTGTCCGTATCTGACTCAAACCAGAGCAATGATTATATGGCTGAAGGAGATGGTATAGAGATCAGGGTCCATCTGCAGAATAAGCTGCATCAAGTTAGTCTCCGTGGCCATGCAGAAATGGGAGATAAGCTCCTGTTTTTAAAAGTGACTGCACTAAGAGCTCAAGGGAATGTTTGCTTGGCCTCTCTTGCTGCATCAAGGCCAGGCTCTGCAGCAGACTGCACAGCACCAGGAGCCGCAGCGCCAGGAAGGCACATGGGTCAGGCTGGAAATGAATAGCGCAGCCGTCACCAACTGCAGGAGGTGTGGTAGTGCTTTGTTCCCAGGCAAACCCTCCAGCTTGTATTTCTTCAAGGCGTAGGGCTGGTTTGTGGTTCTTTATGGCTTTTAGACCAGAAAACTTTTTTTTTTTTCTCAGTGGGACGCAGAGGTAAGTGCTGCCTCTGCAGGCTGTTTCCTAGGATGATCCATTCCAGGTGGATCCACCCCTGTCCTGACTGCCACCCTCTGCACTAGTGATACGGGGTAGATGTAGGTCCCCCATCACTCCTCTTGTACATTAAGATATCGGACCACGCCATCCCACTCTCAGATGCACATGGACACTTCCAGCCCTGGGTTCACACCTCCACCCACCCTCACTGTGCCACCACAGCCCAGTCCCAAGCCTACCCCTCTTCCAACCCACCACGGTGACCACCCTGAGGTTCAACCCACCTCTCCCCGTGGCTTTGTTGCACCTCAGCTCTGCTCCCACAGACGTGTATGGTCACAGATACGGGCTGACGGTTGGACTCGATGATCTCAGTGGTCTTTCCAATCTGAATGATTCTATGATTCTCGCACCTGCACCACCCCGTCTTGAACCAAGCCCCGCTGGGATCCACATGCAGCCAAATCCACCCCACATCCTTCTCCGCAATCAAACACCCATAAGAGGCCCGCTTGGCTTTCAGCCCTTTATTTCTCCACCCCCCTCAGCGGCAGGAGCACTTGCAGGCCGCCACCACAGGATAGGGGATCTGCCGCCAGGCGCAGTGCAGGGGGCCGGGGGGCCGGGCAGCCCAGCAGTGCCAGGCCAGCAGCTTGAGGTGAGCGAGCTGGGCTGGATGACAGGCCATGCCTGGGGGCCACGAGCAGGCCGGAGGGCCGGTCCTGCAGGCGGTGTGCCGCACCCAGCGGGGCCAGAAGACAGGCCCCAGGTCCACCCATGTGGAGGTGAGACGGCACGAGGCTCTCTCCACCAGCCAGCGCCGCAGGGGCCGCGCCATGTCGGGGGGCAGCTCGGGGGGCAGCTCCATCCCCTCCACCTCCCTCCACAGCTTGCGGCGGTACCGCCCGCCTCCCTCCACCAGCTCCCGGCTCATGGTTTCCAGATCCTCCTTGGCGCTGAGGTTGCGGCCTAACGGCTCTTCGGACGACATCCAGAAGGGGTCAAAGGCTGGGCCCAGCAGCCGGCGCAGTCGGCCGGGCCGCAGGTGGCGAGGCTTGGGAGCGTAGCGGTAATCCTCGGGGGAGAGCGAGAGGCTGTAGGGTCGCACCGGGGCCGAGGGGCGGCTGCGCAGCAGATGGGCAGTAGGGTCAGAGGTGCTGAACGGCGGTGGCAGCGGCTTCTGAGAGTCTTCCAGGCCGGTGGCACGCAGTGGCAGTGGCAGCAGGCAGAGGAATAGCAGGAGGCAGCAGCGGGGGCCCTGCATGGCGAGCGGTGCTGTGGGATGTGGCAGGCGGCCACGTGCCCTGGGTTATCGGCACGTCCCCAGCATGGCCTTCCCCTTTTCCTTGGTTGTGGATGATGATACCCGTCTGCCGCCCGCCCGCTTGGGGATGCTTTGCTCCCTGCTGACATCAGCGGGTTGTGGAGCCTCCCACTAGAGCAAAGTGCAAGATGGGGCAGCAGGACCCCACTTCTGCCTCTTTTCCCCCCCCCCATACTTCCACCTGTGCTGCCCCTGGGAGAACAGGCTGCCATGGAGGGAAAGAATCCAGTGCCTCCTTCTCCTCCTCCCCATCCTGCCCCGTGGCTGTGTTTGATGATGCACTCAGGACCTTCCCAGCGAAGGGGAGCTGACAGCTTTCGGGTCTTGCTGAGACCATCCCCAGCACAGGGCAGTATCCCATCCCAGGAGGGTGGCTGGGCAGGGGTGGGAGGGCTGTGTGGGTTACAGTTGTTTCTTGTGAGCAGCATGGTTGTTTCTTGTCTGGACAGCCAGAGCACACGTTGTCCTAGGTAGTGATAACAAAGCTGGGTGTCTGGAGATGCCCTCACTGGACAGCCTGTCCCTCTCCAGGGAGGGAAATGCCGGTGAGAGGTCAGACCTTCTCTAGGCAAAGAACAAAGCCTGCTTCAACCTCCATCCCCAGGTCTGAGACTTAATCTGCTCTGTGCCACAGCACTTTTTGCCATGCTGCTAGAAATTAATTAACAGCTAAAAATAGCAACTCTTTGCTCATTCTCCACAGGACTTAGACTCATATCCCAAGGATGAGGTAGGGGTCTGGCAGGCTGAGACATCCATGTTCCCTGGAAATGTAGGGAAACACATCTCAGAACATAGAGGTGGCAGATCTGTGGGATTCTGCCCACCTCCATCTCACATTCTCATTGTCCCCTCTTGGTGGAAGCAGCTGAACCCAGAGGAAGGCTGGGAAGAGAGGAGTTAACTCCAAACCCAACCTCAGGGAGAGGGGAAAAAAATAATACAGAGAGAGATCAATGGATCAGCAGCTAGAGCAGAGGGAGGGAAAAGGAGGGGAGAGGGAGAGAGAACGTGCAAGGAGCTGCAGAAGGAGAGAGCTGAGTGTGAGAGCGGAAAAAGGGAGCAAGGGGACAGGGGGATGCAGCAGAGTGTCAGGCATTGCTGACAGCTCTGCTAGAAGAAACTGTCAGTGTCCTACATCCTGCTGATGAAGGTGTGCCTCCTCCTCACTGCTGCTGCCCAGGCTTTTCTGGAGGTCTACCCAAAGCAAGTGGAGAAGCTACAGGCCTTTCCTTGCAAAGGTGAGTGCCAGTTTTCCAAGCCTCGGGATGAGCCCAGAGCTGCCCCAGCCCATGTGCAAAGGGTGTGCCCACAGGGAGACTACAGTCTTCTGCTTGTGCAAGATGGTCCCACAGGACCAAGACAGAGGAGCTGGGAACAGGGGGGAGTGAATAGCAGAGATGAGTTTTCAGTGCTGCATAGAACGTGCTGGGAAAAAGTGGCATGAGCAGAGAGATAGGGCAGTGTGGGTGAAAGAGCTTGCATGACCCAGAAAGAGTTAATTGCGTGTCAATTGTTGCTAGATAACCGTGCCTTTCCATCTTGACTGCTGCTCAGTGAAGGACAATTTGTTCTAATGAAAGAACAATAAGGAGAAGGCTCGTTAGGAGATATGGTGTTTGTGCTCCTTGTCTGTCTGTGGTGGTACGCAGTGCTGGAAGAAGTTTGGCCACAAATCACAGCACCCTGCTCCTTGAGTTTTTGAGATAAATCACTCCTTTGTTATGACTATTGTGCTGTGTTTTGGGCAGCTCCGAGATCTGCTCCCCACCTACTCTCATGTCACAGGGAGAGATGAAGAGCTGCACAAAGAACAGAGATCAACTGGAGAATGTGAGTGAGTACTGATAGTGACCAGGGACAAGATAGGACCCAACAGCCAAATCCCCCTTGCCTGCACCATCCATAAGGTTAACAAAGCCTCAAACAACCAAACAAAAAACCAAATACATCCCACCTGCTTTTCTCAGAGATCCTTTGAACTCCTGATTGAAAACACGTTAAATATGATACAGTACAGTGCAGGTTGTTTTCTCCACTTCCTACACTGCCAATTTAGCCACCACCATCCAGCCCATTACCTCCTATCAGCATCAAGATTACTGTCCTTAGTCACAGGTCCTCTGTGTAAAACAGCTGCTACAAGAGGAGGGAGGAGCAGTCACTTGTGGGGTGGAGATGGCACACTTGTGAGCATGGCACAGTGCTTCTGCTGTAGAGTTCCTGCTGCTGGAGATGTCTCAGCCCCATATTCAGGGTGGCCATCCCTCTCAAACCCTCCTTCCCTATGTTCTTGCAGCCCTGGCTGAGCCCAGTAGAGCATCAGCTGGAATGAAGACTTGAGATCCCAGGGTTTAGCAGCATATTGTATGTAGGAAGAATACAGGAGAGGCCAAGTGGTTGAGCAGGGGGTCTTCCAAGAGGGCTGAGAGGTCAGCAGACACTGTGGTGGGGATGTGAATCCAGACTGTCTCTCTCTATGCACAGAGTCCCACTGTCGGAGAGGGAGAGATGCCAGGGGGCTGGAATGCCTCCTCTGACAGCCCGGAACTGCCAGCTGCAGGGATCGTCGTGCCTGTCATCTTCTCCCTCATCTTTCTTCTGGGCACTGTGGGGAACGGACTGGTGCTGGCCGTGCTGCTACGGAATGGCCAAGTGAAGTACAACACCACCAACCTCTTCATCCTCAACCTGGCCGTGGCTGACCTCTGTTTCATCATTTGCTGTGTCCCCTTCCAAGCCACCATTTACACCCTGGATGGGTGGCTCTTTGGGGCCTTTGCCTGCAAGGCTGTGCATTTCCTAATCTACCTCACCATGTACGCCAGCAGCTTCACCTTGGCTACAGTCTCCATTGACAGGCAAGTGTCCTCTGTACATTGAGTCCCTCAGCTCAGGGACAATATGTTTGCCATCCTTGAGCTAAGAGATAAGAAAAAGTCCAGTCCCCACCCACCCTATTGGGTGCCTGTAAGGAGCAGGTTGGATCATCCCAGTGGCAGCAGGGATGCCAGGACCAGCAGATCTTTCCATTGTTACTCCATACCTCCCATACATTCTCCCAACTCCCAGCCAAGCTCTTGGTCTAGTTACCTGTCCTTTCTCTTCCTTACTTGGGCATAAGGTTTGTAGGCATGCATTCAGGCTTGTGTCTAGCCAAGAATGCCAAAGCCCCAGGAAAGCAATGCACCAGGGGAGAAACAGGTAGCTCTCTGTGTCCTATTTTGGTCCTCCTCCCTGACTCAAGATGCATGTTCCTGAGCTAGCACAGCAATGTGAGCAGCGGAGATCCCAGATCCCATGTTGGGATGACCCCATTCTCACCATAATCCTCCTTCCCAAGAGGTGAGGAAGAGGAAAGATTGGTGGCTGCATGGGAATGGGTACACAGATGGCAGCTTCATAAGGCAGGAGGGCAATGAGACATCTCACCCACATCGTGTTTGATCTCTCCTTCCCCTCTCCACCAGGTACCTGGCCATTCGCTATCCACTGAAGTCCCGGGATCTCCGCACTACCCAAAATGCAGGAGTGGCCATTGTAGTGATTTGGTTGCTATCACTACTCTTTGCAGGGCCTTACCTCAGTTACTACCAGATTGTCCATTACCATGGGGTGCCCATCTGCGTCCCTGTCTGGGAGGACCAACGCCGAAAGATTCTGGACATCCTTACATTTGTAGTTGGATACCTCTTACCCGTGACTGTAGTGAGTCTGGCATACGCCAGGACCATCAAGTTCCTGTGGACTTCAGTAGACCCCATAGAGAGGATCTCAGAGTCCCGGAAGGCCAAGCGTAAGGTCACCAAGATGATTGTAGCTGTGGCCATCCTGTTCTGCCTCTGCTGGCTTCCACATCATCTGGTTATTCTATGCTTCTGGTTTGGCCACTTCCCTTTCAACCGAGTCACTTATGCCTGCCGCCTGGCTTCCCACTGCCTTTCATATGCCAATTCCTGCCTCAACCCTATCGTCTACGCGCTCGTCTCCAAGCATTTCCGAAAGCGTTTCAAGCAGGTCTTCACCTGCCTCTTCTTCCAGAACAAGAACAGGAAGAAGAAAACTGGAAATAAAGTTCATATGGTCACTGTGGGCAAAGGTTTCACTAACAGCACTGGGGGCTTCTATAGAGGCAACACTGAGCTGACTCAGGTCCCAAAGGAGAATGGTAGGAAGAGGAACCCTGAAGGCACCAACCATCCCAGAGCATGGACTCACCAGCTACAAGAAGTTCAGGAGTTGCTGGAGGAGGAAAGCTTGGTAACAGCTGGTCATCCCCTAGCCAAGACCCCTCCAAGAAAGCCTCAAGAGTGTCTGGCTGTTGATTACAAATGAGTAAATGCATCTCAGAATGGCACAATCCACCACATCAATGCAGAGCAGAGGGACATGTTAATGTGATGACATTCCTCATGGTCTGGGGGCAGTCCAAGTCCACCTCCCCTTCTCTGGCTCCTGCATCCAGATCAAAGAGGGCCATTGCACTTTACCACGCTGAGTCTGTGCCAACAGCTTGGTTATACAACCTCTGCAGAACTCACTGATCATACTTCAATGATACCACCATGCCACAGCAGGTGAAGAACTGAAGGGTTGTTGTGCCCTCCCTGTGTACCCATGGCTTCTCTGCATCTCAAAAGGGAAAGAACCATCAGTCCACTATCTTCCCCTGGCCCTGCCCTTCCAGAAAGTACTCAGTGGAGGAGGTTTCCTAGAGCTCTGCCTCGCTTAGCCTTTGATCTTGCAAGTAGATACTGCAGGACACTGTCCACTTCCTTGTGCTGCGTGCAGTTCTGAAATATTTCTTGGCGGTTATCCTCAGTTCTTCCTAAGCAACCCTCACAAATCCTCCTCCCACCATGTTGTTCCATCTGATTAATCTCTGTTTTATTTCTGTTCACCTTTTGCAAATTCCTGAAGGACCACTGCCTCCTCTTTGTTCTTTTGTAGAGTTTCATCCCTTCCTTCAGGGGCCGTTGCTCTCTGAGCAGTGATGTAATTCGGCAGTATTAGCCCTGTTTGTGTGCTTTACTGACTTGGCAAGATATTCTTTTCCATGAAATGAAAATCATGATTGCACTCGTGTGCACTTGGCTCAATCTAAATCCTCTCTGTTCTTTTCTGGGTGATGGACAGAGCTTCAAGGAGGGTGTAATGCCACCATCACTCAAAGGGCTGGAACATCTACCACAGCGTTCCTCACTGCAGGATTGCTTTGGGTCTGATGTCCTCCTCCTGGGAGCACAATTTCCCATTTGTTGTTCCTCATTGGCCTCCTTGTCTCGAACAGCTGTAGAAGAGCCTTTGGTTGCAGTAGCTGCTGAATGACCCCCTATAGTAGAGTGGAGTGTCTTTCCAAACCTGACCATGGGAAGAATGGGAATTGCTTTGGGAATGGGGGGGGGCAAGAAATAGGGTTCACAGAGGGTGCTGGAATTTCTCCCTTTTGTAACCTGAATAAACCCCAGCAATTTCCTTCTCCTGATAAGTCTGATGTGTGCTGAATGCAAACTCTGCCAGTGTAGTAGCATAGACTGCTGGAGGCTGTACAAGCTGGTTGGAGTCCTTCATGGGCACAAAAAGGGATGGTGAAATGGTAGGGCAGAGGGACAAGGAGCAGAAGGGAGGACAAGCAGGCACACAGCATGCATGTGCATGGACATAACCCTCCCAGCAAAGCCCTATGGGAGGGGATACAAGGAGCAAATGCTGCAGCAGACTCCAGGCTGTGGGAAATCCGCAGGGAGCACACTGCTCACTTCATAGCTAATTCATACAGAGGGAGTAATGCTGGGAGCCCCAGCTGGCAGAGAGGAACCATTTACTGCCAGCCCACTGCCAAATGCCTGTGCCAAATGCTAAATCACTGGAGGCAGTGCAGCTCAGTCAGCTCTGTCCTGAGCTGCACAGATACACTGTCCTTGCTTGCCCCCGTGCACAGTGGGACCTTTGGTAAGCAGCTGGAAGCTGCAGTGTCAGGTGAAGAGCTTACAGCCCTGCCCTTGTCCTTTGACACTCTCAGAGCTATGGGCACAATATGGAAGGGATGAGGGGACATGCAACAATGGGAACATGGCTTTGCAGAGCCCTGCTATGCACAAGCCATGCAGCAGATCTATAAGCTCTCCCTATCCTTCTTTTCTTGCCCTCCCCTACTTCTGCTTGCGTGAATCTTCCTTTATTGCTTGCTCTGCTCGCTTGTCAAATTCCCAGGTGATGTGGCATTTCAATATGTGCTGACACTGTAGCACAGCTCAGAAGCAAGGACACTCCTTTCCCCATGCTGCAGCTAACCTGGTTGATGCACTGGGGATTGTTTTTCTTTTCACACTCAAGCACTTGATGTTGTTTTCTGTACCTTGAACCTCCCACATCACTCGTTGTGCTGGAACACATGCATTGTTTCTAGAATTGTGACTGCATTTCACAGCCCAAAGCATTGGAGAAAGAAGGGAACAGCAGTTGAGAGTGGTGATGCTCTGACCTTGCTCCCTTCTAATAATGGGTGAAACCTAAATAACATGGGACAAAAAGGATGGGGGGAACCTGGGGAGAAGCCAAGTTCAGCACCTCTGCGAGATGTGGCCCCCATTCATTCATTCTGCCTGCGTCTAAGAGCCTGCATTTTTGGGGAGCACATGAGCAAGAGGCTTGATAGCCAAGAGAGAATTCCAGTCTGCCCAGTCACAACACGCATGCTCCAACTGGTCCAACAGCTTAAAGGCAGAGCAAAGAAAAGGTGTTATGTCCTTGATATAAAGCTGTCACTAATTAAGATTAAAGGAGCCCAAATGCTGTTCTCACACAGTCTCCCTTCCAGACTGATTAGCAATCAGCAGTCTCTGCTCCCAGCTTTTCAACTTAATTAATGATTACTTGTCATCGCTCAGACTGATGAGCTCAGCTTTAAACTTGCAGGGGCTGCCACATCTGGGACATGCTGAGCGTGGGGCAGCAGGGACTGAAGCAGAGAGGGCAGACCAACAGAAGAAGGAAAATGATAGTTGAAGAGCCTCTGGGTGAGCTATTTGCCCTGTCTCCTTTATCAGTTTCTTAATCAAAACTGGTGATTCTCCCACCTTGTCATCCACTGCCTGGGGTTGCTCTCCCACGCTGCCTGGGTGCAGTGTACAAAGAAAGCATCTTTACTGTCTGTACCTTTCCATGACGGAGGAGATGAAATCCATCTCACTCATTGAACAAGCGGAGGAAGCAGATGAAAGGCTGGAAGGTTTGCAGGGATGCTTCATGGGGCTTCCTTAGCAGCACAGAGGATAATTACTGTGATGGATTTGGAGTCTGCTAGAAAGGCAAAAGTGAAGTGTTCACTTAATGGAGTTCAGATGTTGGTTTGATACCCTGGAGCTTAATTATCTCAACTGCTGAAGACTGAAAGGCAAAAGATTCTTGGTCTTTGTGCATACCGCAGCACACTTTGCATTCACCGGCGTGGGCGAGCAGCTGCTGCAGAGAAAGACCTTTCACTTAACAACATTCATGACACTTTATTGGGAGGTTTGTACACAGCTATTGCTTCTGCTTGAAAGAGCCAGATCCTTATCCTGGCTGGTTTTGTCTGTGTCTTACAGCATGAGCACTCTGTGCAGGGCTGAGGGACTGGTGAGGTCACTGCTGGGTTCGGTGGCTGTGGGTACAGCGTGTCACTGCAGAGCTGTGCTGTGAATGAAGAGGGAAACAGAATGCATGTGGAGGACAGGCAGTGGTGAGCAAGGCCTTGGATCAAGTCCTGTCTGCCAGGGAATACTGGCACTGTGGCCCAGAGAGGGACCTAAAACACGGTGCTTAGCAGTGTAAGGCAAGGGAAAAGGGGAGGTTGGGCAAAGTGTAATGTCAACATAGCAGAGGGAAGACAGCAGCATTGTTTGCATTGTTACTGCAACAGACACCTCTGGAATAGACTGAAAGCAAGGGAAATATTCATTGCTGCCTGCTGCACCCCTGCCTTTCCACTCCAAGCGTACAGTCAAGAGCAGTCATGGAAAAACTCCAGCACCAGGCAAACAAAGACTTGAAGAGTTGTGGACAGCAATGTCCTGAGCACTCAAGCTAAAAGCTTAGCTCTGAATCTCAGCTAAGTGTGTTCCTTGTTGCAACGAAAGCTTCCAGGCTGCATCTAGTTTGCAGACATCATCAGCAGCCAAGGCAACTACAATGGTAAGAGCACCCCAGCCGCCTGCTCTTTGGCACCTTAATGGTCTCCTCAGCAACAAGGTTGTTGACTGCCAAGTGTACGTGGATATGAAGCTTAGACTGACGCAATGACAGAAAGACAGAACAGGACAGGCTGAACACAGGTCACCTGCTCCTCACCCAGGGACCACATTGCAAAGCCCCTGCCCAGATGTTAAGGGGTTGAGGTGCTGGGGAGGAACAGCTCTTCACAGTGCGGCCACTTTTCTGGGCACAGGGCAAGGCACGAGTGCAAACACTTTATCCCCACCAGCTCCACAGTTACACAGGAGAACAGACTGGGCAAGGCTGCTTTCCCTCTTCACAAAGCATGCCACCTCCCAGCTAGATGCAGTCCCCCCGACATTCTCTTTCCCTCTGTTTGTACAGTATCACAGCAACTAACTAGATTTTAAGTTTGGATTTCTTGGCTGTGGGAGCCGAGATCAGAAGGTGAGTCAGCAGCTGTGTACTCTGGTCTGCAAACAGGCTGGTGTTTGAATTCAAACCATTTTGTGTTGCCACTTCCAATTTCAGTACCACAATTGCGAGTAGCAGTTACTGAACCCAATGCTGTGCCCACGGCCTGAAACATCAGTAAAGAGGAATGAGCTGCTCTGAAAAGAGAGAACTGGACAGGGAGTTTAAAAAAGGCTGACAGGATTTTATTGAGGTGGGAAATATGAAAAGGTCAGATTGTCTCCCACCCCCTCACAATCCTTCCCACCCAGCACATCATAACAATGTACCAGCACTCACAGTGACAGCCCCAGCCAGCACAGCTTCCAGCACACCTAGAACAATGCGTATTTTGATAGCTTAGCTTTGAACAAGGAGACCCAGTGAGCCTTCTCCTTGCATAAGAAGCCAGATATTTGAGAACACATCTCTGAAGAACGCTGCAAACAGTGGCTGTTAATATGGTTCAGCTGAATCCTAAAGAATTGACATGATTCCTAGCTGTGGGGCGCATATCACTACCAGCATATCATGTCATTTAGGTGGGTGTGCAGGTGGGAACTGTGGCACATTTTCTTGTCATCCTGCTATCGCTCACACCCCATCTCCAAGATTTCACAGATCCCTGCTTCAAAGCAAAACTACCATGTCTTCATTACTAACCAGAGAGCAGCAAGGGAGATTCCCTGCATCCTTCATAGCTGCATTACTCTGGGCTCCCAGCAGAGGTCATTACTCATTCAAGCTGAACTTCAGACCCTGGAGCTGCGCGTCTCCACAAGCAAGAAACACACGATGGGCATCAGTCAGTTTGGTGCTGCTAAGGAGCCACAAATCCGCCTCCACCCAACCCAACGATGTGGGGCAACTTCTGTTGCTACTGGACCTCTGGCCTGAAACGGCCAGTAGTGGGGAACAGAAAAGTCACTTAGGATGATTTCTTTGTTTTTTTTCCCAAATAAAATCATAGAATCATAGAATCACCAAGGTTGGAAAAGATCTAAAGGATCATCCAGTCCAACCATTTACCTATTACCAATAGCTCCCACTAAACCATGTCCCTCAACACAACATCCAGTCTTTCCTTGAACACCCCCAGGGTCGGTAACTCCACCACCTCCCTGGGCAGTCCATTCCAGTGCCTGACCACCCTTTCTGAAAAGTAATACTTCCTAATGTCCAGCTTGAATCTCTCCTGCTGTAGCTTGAAACCATTCCCTCTGGTCCTATCACTAATGACACGAGAGAAGAGGCCGACCCCCAGCTCACTACAACCTCCCTACAGGAAGTTATAGAGAGCAATGAGATCTCCCCTGAGCCTCCTCTTTTCCAGGCTGAACATACCCAGCTCCTTCAGCCTCTCCTCATATGGCCTGTGTTCCAGACCCCTCGCCAGCTTTGTTGCCCTCCTCTGAACACGTTCCAGGGCCTCAATGTAGATGTATGCCAAAAACTGCTCTAGGGTTAAGTCATTCCCTAACCCTCACTGTTGCATCAAGGTAGCTCTGATCTGATGCCTATCTGGGTATTCTTCACAAGTCTTTCACTCTGAGATTTAAGTATTGACTTTCAGCAGTGCTTCAAAAACGAGGCCCAGTGGAACCTGTTAGTCTGATTAAAAGCATTGTATCCCACACCTAACTGGCCAGATACTCTGCAGGCTCTAGGGAAGTTTAGGATTACGTGTTGGTGCATGCTTCTTAAGGCAGTATGTTTGTTCAGCTGCTACCACACAGAATTAAGGACATGTTATTCCTATAGTACAAAGCCTTCTGTTGTCCAAGATACCCACTTCCCACCCCCACCCCCCACATGCAGTTTAATACTGCAGTGGTGGCAAAAAATGCCTGTTGCAAGCAGATAGATCTGTGATGCTGGCAATTATCCATGGCATTAGCCACCACCTGCACTGAACTGGAGTGCTAAGGAGAAGGCAGAATACCTCTGGTCTGGAAGGGCTACCCTATTCAGTGCCAGCCTATTATTATTTTTTCCCAAAAGTCTCAGCTGCGACACTCTCTTGTCCAAATCTTACTGCCTCCTCATGAGGCAACCATGGCAGCACCCTCAGGGCCTGCAATGTTTATTCAGAGATGTAGGCCTTCTTCTCTGAGGCTTCTCCTTCTGGATCACAGAGATGACTTGGAAGGCTGTTACCTCTTCTCCATCTGCATTTGCAGGCTGAGTGATGTGAAGCTGGCCAGGAGGTCTGTAACCTCGTCCACCTGTCAGAAGAATAGTTGGCCATCAGGCGCAGGAACACAGCTGCCCACCACCACAGAAGAAACACCCATGCAGCAAAGACTACTCTTCCACCAGTAATGCCCAAACTGAGCGTATGCTACAACTCCTCCTGGTTCCACAATCATGCTCAAAAAAGTCCTAATGTGAGGCAAAAGGAGCTTTTGCCCCTTCCTCAGGAAGCTGATGCTCGAACTCTACCTCAGGCAATACAATCAGCCCTGAAATAGAAGTGTGTTGACGCATTACCCAGAACTCAACAATGAGTACTTGTGCTACCTTCCGGCCTTAAAATGATTTTGCCCTCAGTCGATCTGATCTTCAACTTCTCTGCTGAGCTGCTAGGCACAGTAACACTTTCTGCATTTTGAATTCCAAACAAAGGAGTCATCATCTATCCTGGCTACTTCACCCAGCAACAACACATCCACAAGTGTCTTCAATGTCACCTTGTTTATGTAGCTGAATTCTCCCGAACACAGAAGTCACAGCAGAAATAGGTGAGTCACGGTAGCTCAGCACTACCTACCTGCTCCTTTGTGCTGGTCATCTGTAGCTTAGTGCAGAGGTCATCCAGCTGTTCCTTTTGCTCATGCCTCCCCAAACGGTCCAGATATTCCCGCAACATCTGGATAATCTGAAGCCATCAGGAACAAGAGGAAACATCAGACAGCAGCATCACACTGGGATGCTTTTAGGAAGAACAGCTAAACTGCCAAGCACAGACTTGATGCTGAGTACATGATCCATAGAAAAGGGCACATGTAAAGCACTAAAGGTTTTATCAGAGGCCAGGGAGTCACCAGAGCAGACCAGTTGTGATCTGTTTGTGTAGTTTTAGAACAGGAAAGAGAGACAAGCTCAGCTGAAGAAGTACAAAGTGTAGGCTTGCCAAGAAAGCACCAAGCTTTTCCTCATGGCCAGCTGTCTTCCCTCACTGTGAGGTGCAGGGACTTCCCACTCCTACAGGATCTGCTTGTGCACAAAGAATAAAAACCCTTATGGCTACTCTATGGCTTCTGAAGCGATGCCCACACCTCATGTATGTGAGGCAGCACTGTGACTGCTTTCCTCTTCCATGCCTCCACATATGAGAGCAGTGCAGACTGCACTGAGAATGCCTGACAAAATAGAGTCCCTGCTGAAATGTGTGTGCCACAGCTACAACCCCATGCTGTCCCTCTTCTGCCACAAGGCATCCATCTTACACGGTTGCTGAAGAAAAGAGCGTGTTCCATACAGCCTGAGAAGTAAGACATTCAATGCTTGGCTTACCACAGCCAAGAGATCACACAAAAATCAAGAGAAGTAGTTGAAAAAATCAACATATCTGAAAACAGAAGGAAAAAGCCAAACTTTCCCTGGATAAGCTAAAAGCCTAGAGACAGGTAATTAAAACAGCCGCTACATGATCCTTGACTGAAAGGGTACAGGAGACTGTCAGAAGCTGTAGAGCCTTACCAGAACATGGGATTGTTTCTTTTACCTGTTTCACTTCAAGCCGTACGGCCTCCAGGCTATGGGAGATTCCTTCCTGTAAGATGTTTAGCTTCGATTTAGCAAGGTGCAGCGGGGTTCTGCCAGCTCGATCCAAGGCATCGACTCTGGCCCCTGCAAATGCATGAGTAAGGGCAGAAAAGGAGGTCTGTCTTAAAGACTTGGTGTTCCTGGAGAATATTGACAGGGGCAGGGCAGGAAAGGGACAGGCAGTAATTGTTATAGAGGAAATGTTACCTCCGCGCAGCAGCGTGGTGATGACGGGAACATGGTTTGTGCAGGCAGCTGGGGAGGGAAAACACAGGACACACAGCTCAGAGGTACTAGCAAACAACAAAGGAGTTTCTGCTCAAGTGTGGAACTTGTCACTTCCCAAAAGGTTTTTTTGCCATAGGAAAGAGGAACAGCTCCACCGTTAAGCATAACCTCATGCTCAGGCCTGGGTACTTTTGCTAGAACACATCTCACACTTCTCAGGACTGGCAAAGGGAGGGAAATAGATTTTCTCTAACTCTGACCCTTAAGTCCTCATGAGGGGTAAAGGGAAAAAAATGCTAAGAATCATAAGTCCTTAAAGCTGGGGATGCATAGTGTGATGCACAGGAAAAAGGAAGATGCAGAGGAAAAATAGAATGGTCACCTCATTTCTCCGCATGCAAAGCTTAGGCACCTTACCCAAGTGTAAGGGAGTGTTTCCCAGCCCATCTCTCTGATTTGGGTCAGCCCCGTGATCCAGAAGCAGTTGCACTGGAAGCAATAATGCAGAGCCATGTTAGCCCCTTCCCTCTGCCCCACTGACAGCACCTTACTGGTGTAAGAAGCTTCATTTGGCAGAGCATTGTTGACCCACAGGCCCACGTGGCAGCCAGCAGGCTGCAGAAGGGACGCGTCTGTTCAGCTTACACAGACAGCAAATGGAAAATAAAGAAAATCCTCTGAAATGGACAAGTTGGATGACCAGAGATCCCCTCCCCACTCACCAATGTGATCGTTGCCATTGCAGGAGGCAAAGTGCAGGGCTGTCCGGCCTTTGTCATCTGCAGCACAAGGGTCAGTTCCATCCTCCAGGAGTTGCTGCACTGACAGTGCCAAGGAGGAAAAGAATGCGGGTAAGTTGAAGGGACACCTGATCAGGAAGGGGTGATACTACCAGCTCTTCTGCAGATAAATACAGGCTCTGTCCATGGTCAGAGCTCACAAATGACTGCATCCATCAGTTCATGAAGCAAAGTATACTGTGAAGCTGGAGGGTACAGCATGACAGACAGCCTCCCATCCACCCCATCACCCCATCCTGAAATGTTAGGGGTTTCTACAACTCAGGCCTGTTTCCAGTTGTTCACAACATGGTCTGATGACAGGCAAAAGAGGAACAATGACAGGGGGCAAACGACATATGGCAGTATTGCTGATGAATACTTAGTATCAAAACCCAACTGATTTACAGTACAGAGAAGTAAAGAGAGTCACAGAGAGGCCATGAATCACTATGAGAGGCTCTGATCTGTGTCACACCATGTCATTCATCACACAGGGTATGGCTTAGAATCACTGAACTGCAGAGTATCCTGAGTTAGAAGGGATCTAGAAGGATCATCGAGTTCAACTCCTGGTTCCACACAAAAGACCACCCAAAAATCAGACCATATGTCTAAGATCAGACAGGCTTGGATCATCGCTTTTCCATTTTGCCACAAGACTATTTTCCTACTGCTGACAAGTGGCAAAAGTTACATACCGAAAAGCTGGAGTAATAGCAGGTTGTTAATTTAGCCTAAGGCAGCTGGACAATCAGCACTATGAGCCCAATACAGTGAAAAAAATCAATATTACAAACAGCCTCACTCTGCTCAGAGAATGGAACAAAAGGCTCAAGAAAAGCAACTTCTAGATCTGCAGCGTCTAAAGCACGATTTCTGCAGACTATCTGCACCTTCCTCCTCCCTGCCCTCTGCTGAAACAAAGAGCTTTGACAAACTGCCCTTCCAGGAAGTGGCCCCATGTCAGGTTGGCAGAATTCTCACCTGTGTCCAGGTCATTGCCATTGGCAGCCTCACGCAGCCTCTTCAGAGCTGTGGAGGAAAGAAAGCCATTACTGGGAAGCACGGAGGAGGAAGGGGATGGGGACAGGGAAGGGGACAGGGGACAGGAAAGGGGAGGGTGGAGGGGAGGGGGAAAGAAGGGGAGATGGATGGAAGGGGACAGGGATGGAAGGGGAAAACCGCTCCCGCTCACTGTGGCTCTCTTTGCCCGTAGGCCCCAGGCGGCGGTGGAGGCGGGCGGCCCTGCGCAGGCGGCGGGCCGGGATCTTGCCGGCTGGCTCCTCTCGCTGCCACAGGACGTGCAGGTAGCCGAGGGGAGCTCCCGCCGCCCCTCCGAGCGCCATCCCGGCTCCCAGAGCCGGTTCCGACTCCGTCCCCGCCGCGGACTCAGCTGCAGCCCCGCCACCGCCCTCCATTCCCTCACGGGCCGGTCCGAGCCGGGGCGCACAGGGTGCGAGGAGAAGGGCGGGAAGGGTCGTCGCTATAGCAACGGTTCTCTCGACCAATCAGAGCCTCCTCGACTCAGCGGATGCAACCAATGGGATGAAAAGGAGACGAGAAAAGAGGCGGTGCCTAGGGTGCGTTGACGGGCAGGCAGACTCTCCAATCAAAGAGAAAAACCTCTGAAGACAGGCAGTTATTTCGACCAATAGACAGATTGAACAGCTTCCCCCTCCGCCGTGGCCTTTTCCGTCCGGCCGCAGGGAGCGTGCCGCTTGGTTCCGCCCCCTCTTCCTGGCTGCCCAGGGACCGCGCCGCGCCATGGCCTACCCGGGGGAGGATTACGACAACGATGTGCGGGCGGGCCGGGGATGTGGGTGTGCGGGTCGAGCTCGGGCTCGTCGCGGTAACCTCGCTGTTTCGTCTCTCCACAGGCCGCCTACGACCCGTACGCCTACTCCAACGACTATGACATGCACACGGGTGAGTGCGCTGCCTGGCCGCCCCGCCGGGATTGGGCTGTAGGCCTCGCTTCTACGTTGCTCCTTGTCTCCCCTCAGGAGATCCGAAGCAGGACCTGGCCTACGAGCGGCAGTACGAGCAGCAGACCTACCAGGTGATCCCCGAGGTGATCAAGAACTTCATCCAGTATTTCCACAAGACTGTGTCCGACCTCATCGACCAGAAGGTGTATGAGCTGCAGGCCAGCCGCGTCTCCAGCGATGTCATTGACCAGAAGGTGTATGAGATCCAGGACATCTATGAGAACAGGTGCAGGGCCATTCTTGCAGTTGTGTTCCTGAACCATAAAAAGAAACGCTGGCATTCTTGTTTCACTTCTTTGAAGTAGTCTGAAGCTTCAGTTGACCACTGAGGGAAAAAGAAAAAAAAAAAAAAAGTTATATTTCTGGGCTATTGGTCAAACATAAATCTATGTGGATTGTGGCCTGTCTGAAAGAAAGTACTGGTTTTGTATGTTGGTAGTAAAATGTGACCTCCGCAGTGGCTGTTTGCAAACTGAGGGATATGCTTTAGTGGGAAATATTGGTGATAGTTGGGTGGTTGGACTGCGTGATCTTACAGGTCTTTTCCAACCATAGTGATTCTGCGATCTTTGCAGATGTTCTTGCTCTTGCTTGTAGCTGTGTTACCTTACCATAAAGAGAATGCGAGCAGAACATATGCAGCCATTCCATACTTAAAGGCCTGGGGCCCCCAGTATAAGAATGATGCAGAGCTGTTGGAATGAAGAGGAAGGCCATAAGATGATCAGAGGGCTGGAGCACCTCTTCTGTGAAGAAAGGATGGGAGCTGGCCTTGTTCAGCCTGGAGAAAGCTTTGAGGAGACCTCAGTGTGGCCTTCCAGTACTTGGAGGGAGCTTACCCACAAGAGGGAAATCAGCTTTTTACATGGGTAGATAGTTACAGGGCAAGGGGGAACAGTTTTAAACTAAAATTAGATGTTAGGGGAAATTTTTCACTGAGAGGTTAGTGAGGCACTGGGACAGGCAGTTGGCCCTGGAACTGGCAGTCCAGAGAGGTTCTGGATGCCCAGTCCCTAGAAGTGTTCGAAGCCAGGTTGGATAAGGCCCAAGGCAACTTGGTCTAGTAACTGATTTAGTGGTTGGCAATCCTGATGCAAACTAGGTGATCTTTGAGGTTCTTTCCAACCCAAGCCATTCTATGATCAGTTTTTTAACTACTTTGTTTGTAGTTCTCATTCTTTGCTTCAGCACTGGAATTAGTAAAGGGAGAGAGTGTTCTACTTCTATCAAGTCCAAGCCCTCTGTATTGTGATTTCTAACTTCAGCTCTCTGAAACTCAGGAACATTTTCTCATACCACATGTTTTATCCTTCAGCTGGACAAAGCTGACAGAAAGGTTTTTCAAGAACACCCCATGGCCAGAGGCAGAGGCCATTGCCCCACAGGTTGGAAATGGTAAGCATTTCTTTTCCACTCTGTTTCCTTATCAGAGAATGAAGGAACTAAATCACTTCTGATATATTAGTGAGCTGGTGCGTGGTTTTTATGATTTGTTTGTTGGTCATCTTTGTTCACTGTGGCAGCTCCTTCTGTAAATGCCGGTCAGAAAGTCAAATGAATGAAGCATCTTCTTGTATCTTTGTAACTGTGGCAGTTGGAGCACCACCAGTGCCTCAGAGACCCAGTTGCCTAAGCCTTTGCTGATATCTCTCATCTTTTTCCAGATGCAGTTTTCCTCATCCTATACAAGGAGCTGTATTATAGGCATATCTACGCCAAAGTCAGTGTGAGTATTGGTCCTGTGTCTTTTGGTTGTGCTTGGCTTTTCTGCCATAAAAGTTAACAAGTTGCACTGCTACTACAGCATTGGTGGTTCCCTAACTTTTGCAAAACAATATTGAATAGACTTATGAGGTATGGGGCAAGTTACAATTAGGGAAGTTTAAAATTCTTGCCTTTTGTCAGTTTAGTAAGGATTTGCTGATTTATGAAAAGCAAGACTTGTCGGTCTTCCTGAGTTGTCTCCCCAGTCTTGGAGGAAGAGGAAACAAAGACTGTCTTAGTAAATAGTTTTTTTCCTCAACCCACAAGTTCTTTTTTATTTCCAATTCTCTCCCTTGTACCATGTGGGGAGAGAGTGAGCAGGCAGCTGTGTGGTGCTGAGCTGCTGCTGAGTTATATCACAACAGTGAGGTGGGGAAGAAGGAGATGTTGGGAAGTAGCTGAATTTTCTTTCTGTTAGAGCTGTATAACTGCATGACTTATAGGTCAGTTTGTTTTGTGTGTTTCTTCGTGGCTCTTTATTTGTTCTTCAGATTAGCAGGTGTGAGAGGGGGTGTCACAAGAGGAGTTTGAGTTACTTGTAATTGAAAGACCAGATGGGGTCAGAGTGCATTGTGGATAGGAAAAAATGGGCACCACAAAGGATACAGGAGAAGAAGACTGGAGGAATAATGGTCTGTAAAAAAACAAAAACAGACAAACCACAACCCTTCTTTTCCTTAAAAAGGCTAATTTGAAGTCAGTAGGAAGATCAGAGTAGTTCTTGGCTGTAAGAAAGAAGCAGAACTGGTGTATGACTTACATGGTGAATGAGTAATAATTGCAGTTTTGGTTTGGACTAGAGGGTGGAGAAATGGGTTAATGCAGGTGTCTTTTTGAAGTTCCCAAATCAAAGACTTGCCTTAACGAGTGAAACTGGTTGCTTGAATTGTTTTGTAGGAGGTTCCCAAGCTGCCCATGGGGTGTCTACATGTGACACAAGATAATTCTAGGAATATGATTCCCTCCTGAGTTTATTGGTCTTACAAAGCATTTAAAACTAATTCTTTATGCAGAGGATGGTGAGGCACTGGCACAGGCTGCCCAGAGCAGCTGTGGTGCCCCATCCCTGGAGGCTCAAGGCCATGTTGGATGGGGCCCTGAGCAGCCTGAGCTGGTGGGTGGCAGCCCTGCCCACAGCACGTGGTTCTTTAAGGCCCTTTCCAAATCATTCTATGATTCTATGATATGATTGTCTAGAAGCAGCTGCGTGTCAGGATTTACAAAGACCTTTCTTGAGGGGAGGAGGACAAGAAGCTGTGAAAGGTAATAGGCAGTTCCTAGGTCTGGACAGCAGAGTGGAGGAAAATGAGATTTAAAGCATTCTATTCACTTCATTGCTCAGTTGTACTAGAAGCTACCTGGCCTTGAAAAGGCAACCTTCTTCTACTGGACAGTAGTGTGACAATTTCATGCTTTCTGGATAGTGTTAGTGGTTACTGACTGGTTGAATGTCAGCTCTAATGTCATCAAAACAGACTTATTGCTATGACTGTTGACTGTCCTTTATAGGGTATTGCCCATAAACTTAGTCTTGCTGTACTTCAGACTAAATGGACTGTACTGTTTTCTCATTGCAGGGGGGGCCCACTCTGGAGCAGAGATTTGAATCTTACTACAACTACTGCAATCTTTTCAACTACATCCTCAGTGAGTTGTTGCAATTAATATTTGGTTTGTGAATTTTGGAGAAGACTGAATGCAGAGGATTAAGACAGAGAAAGGGAGAGAAACCAAAATGTATTTATTTAGAGATCACAAGCAGATAAGTGGTCTGTAAGCTTTCCATATGTTTAAATTTGCAATGAAGAGCACTTTACATCCATGCATTTAAAAACAAAAAGCCCAAATAGTTGACAATGCTTTCTGAAAAGCCCTAAAGAAAAAAAGAATTACTTTCTATCTTGCTGAGAATTTTCTCTTACTGCTTCATTTTGCTTTCTGATCAAAGTTAGGAACTTGCAGTGGTATTTCGGAGCTGCTTACCCTTCTTGACTCCACTTGGGACAAATTAAAATGTTTGACTCCCTGCCAGTCTTGCAGAGAAAAGAGTGGTTGGGATAGACCCCTAAAGTTTTTGTGCAGTTTCCAAGAATCACTGCTGTTGAGCATTCACGCTTTAGAGATTAACTCAGTGCACACTCATATTCTTTAAAAATAAAGGTACCTGAGGTAGGCAGAGCTACATATTGATTTCTTGCTGGATGCTTCATTCATCTGCTGTGTTTTTCAACTTGCAAAGATTCTGGTTTTCTTGATTTTTATTTTTATTTTATTTTTTATTTATTTATTATTTTTTCCTTCAATTCTGCCACTGTCCTTGCTCAAGGCATTAAGCCTCTCATCTGCTACTGATGTTCTTCTGCAGATGCTGATGGTCCTGCTCCTTTGGAACTGCCCAACCAGTGGCTCTGGGATATCATTGATGAATTCATATACCAGGTATGTGACTCTTAAACTGGGGTGTTTTTGGTAGCCTCGTGTTAATGCTATTGAATTTTCAGTCATCTTTATGAGTCTCATATCTAGGGTTTAACTGCAAATCAAAAAGTTTAGGTGAGTGCTGTTATTTGTGGGTCACAAAATAGGCGTAGTTGTAAATGTACAGGTTTTTTAAGTTACTGTGAGCTATCTGGGGAGTCTTTAACTGATACTGATATTTCCATTTCAGTTGTTGCTTAGCACTGATTTGGTTTGGTTTGTTATTTAAACTCA